AAGTACAGGCTCAGAGACCCACAGCAGAGACAAATCCTGACCCAGTACAGGCTTAGAGACCCACAGCACAGACATATCCTGACCCATTACAGGCTTAGAGACCCACAGCAGAGACATATCCTGACCCAGTAAAGACTCATTGACCACAGAAGAGACATATCCTGACCCAGTACAGGCTTAGAGACCCACAGCAGAGACACATCCTGACCCAGTAAAGACTCAGTGACCACAGCAGAGACATATCCTGACCAAGTACAGGCTTGGAGACCCACTGCAGAGACATATCCTGACCCAGTAAAGACTCAGTGACCACAGAAGAGACATATCCTGACCCATTACAGGCTTAGAGACCCACAGCAGAGACAGATCCTGACCCAGTACAGGCTCAGTGACTGTGAGAGCGATGAGGTCGAGACAGAGCAAAATTCAAATTGGCGCGAGAAAATTTCATAACAAAATTAAAAAGCACCCTTCCAAACTTTGAAATTCTAATAGAATCTGAAAAGCTACCAATCTTCCTTGGTGAGGGCAGCTCAGCAACTCTCGCTGTGAAATGTGTGGCAACATGTCATGGCCTGAGGGACAGTAACACACTCCACACCCCCACCTCACTGACCCCCCAAACCCTTCACTGTAGATAGGTCAAATACACTGTCAGTTATTATTTTTATTATATAATGTTTTCTTATTTCATTTATTTATTTAATTAATTACCAAGTTTTACAACATTTATTATATTGTCTTATTTAATTTATTTACTTTATTTATTTTAACATTGTTGCTGTTATTTCAATATGACTATTATCATTGTTTATCGTTGTTGTTTTTAGTTCTTCAAAATATGTTCCGCTTTGAGTTGAATTTTATATGCTTTGGCAACATTGTACTCAAAACAGTCCTGCCAATAAAGCTACTTTGAATTTGAATTGAATTGAGAGAGAGAGAGAGAGAGAGAGAGAGAGAGAGAGAGAGGCAGAGAGGGAGAGACAGAGAACAGAAACTTTTACTTTGCTTTTATTGTCAACAGTGTGCAAAATTACACCTCACGATCGGACAAAACCCCACCACCCGTACCTCCCACCTGTTACACTTCACACAAGACAACACCTCACATACACATCGTAAGCTCTCCATTCTCTACACAGCACAGTGCCTCAGCAACACACCACATATTCTGAAACGTTACCAAGTCATTCATCGCATTGTAGTAAGCGAAGTCCACTTTCACATGTGCTCTAATAAAACTCTTGTAAAGCATCACATCAGAGTCTGTAAGGCCTTGTCCCTTTATTTTGTTTCTCCTGGTCAGCCATATGGCCAGTTTGGCTTGGCCAAATACAAAGTTTAACAGACAGCATTTGGTCAGCTGTGAACGAGTGTACTTTGGACCCAGTATGAACAGACCGTAAGTGAAAGTCATGTCAAGATTCAGACATAGTCTGTGTAAAGCACCAAATATGACATTCAGCCGTGAGCATTCTGCAGACAGATGTTCCACAGTCTCGGGTTTGGAGCAGAAGGGACAGTCCACTCCCTGAGCAAAGTGTGCAGTGCACTGGTTTGTGGCTATTGCTGCATGTATTATACGTCACTGCAGGTCTCCCGACCTCTTGGGGACTGGGAGTTTGTACAGCACCCTCCATCTGTATGTGGCCATGCTCTGAGAGAGAAAAGAGAGAGAGAGACAGAGAGTTCAGAGTTCTGAGCAGCAGCAGCAGCAAATCAGTTGAGCTCCCAAACAAGGACAAAGAAATTCAATACTTTTTCCAGAAAATAGAACACGGATAAGGAAAAGGTGGACAAGCAAACTGGAGCACCCAGAGACCGTCCTGAACCTCAAAAAACAGAGTAAGAACTTCAGAAAAAGTGGTTTTAGACCACTTTGCTAAGGAGCTAACTGTTAACTGTCAGTTAAGCATCTGCTGTTACCATAGCAACACTCTGCATTGTTTAAGATACAAAGCCAACAGGCCAGTAATAACTGAATTAAAAGCTCAAAAAAAGAAGACGAGGAAAATTAAGTGTATTTCCATCCAGAGAAAAACAAGACAAGAAATGAACTGCTACGTTTCTGACACTTTTTGGGTTGTTCAACTGTAAAATGTCTGAAGAGCAACTGATTTGTTTCATAGAAAAATGCTAGAACAAGAACTTGCACCAGATCCTTCTCTTGGTTTTGCTAGCCAAAAACTCAAGAACAGTGAAACTTTGTGCAGGATGCTCCCCCTGGAGATACAATACCCAGCAGAAATGCAGTCCTCAAAAGCAAAGGGATGCTTTAAAATGAAAGTTTTAAAAGAAAACCCAGAAATGTACAGCATCGACTACATAACAGAGAACGGTGTCAAGAAAAAATCCAACTTCATTTTTCATACAGAATTCACTTCAGCCTGGCACAAAGCTCTATGCCAAACCTACACAAATGTAAAAAAAGAATGGCATCTGTAAAGGAAGATTACAGCTCATGAGGAAAACACATCAGACAGCATCACCCTAACCTTTAACCTTTACCACAATGGTACTGTCATGGTGCAGGGGTCCGTAAACAGTCTGAAAAAATCCAACAAAATTACCACGAACTAAAGGACCTAACAAATGAGCTGAAAACAGAGCCAGACATTCAGCAACTGGACGTGTCTCCACTCAGGGACGGCAGCTCCACACCTCATCAGGACTCTACCTCCGAAAGTATCTCAGCAGATAGGATCACTGAGGCGGGGTCTGTCAGTGTTAGAAAGAGAGCTTATTGAGCTCAAAGAGTCTACCTCTGACAACGAGAACATGCCTAGACTGACTCATCAACAGGCAGAACACATAAAACAACTCCAGTCCGTGGTGAGAGACCTAGAGGAGGACAATGAGGCCCTGAAGAAGGAGGTTTCCACAGTCACACCTGAACATCACAGCCTCTTGCTCAGTCTTCAGAAAGAAGTCCAGGAGCTAAAAGCTAAACTGTACGCACAATCCAGCAGGACTGCTGCACCACCATCTTCCTCTACTCCATCACCAGAAACCAGCACACAAATAAGATCAGAGCCATCTCATCAACAAAACTGTGAAATCCCAGAACCCCACACCAAAGACTCAAAACACACTCCACTCCAAAATCCTGAATTTGCCTTAATATGTGACTCAAACGTGAAATTTCTAAATATCAATCGATTTTCCCTGGAAAAAGAGCCATTAAACTGTGCGGCCCAACAATCCAGTGAGCCCTTGATCTGCTAGAGGACAAGAGACTCCAGGACACATCACACATCCTCATACACACTGGGACCAATGATCTATCAGCAGGAAGGACAGATGTGGCCAGGGCACTTCACCTCATCACCCTGAAAGCTTCGAGAAAGCTGCCTACAGCCAGAGTGACCCTGTCCACACTGCTGCCCAGAAAAGATGTGCCCCAGCAGGTCATCAATGGCATCAACTCAGAGGTGGAACAGCGCTGTAAACCCTTACATCGCTATAAGGGTTTATGATGCAGCAAGATATCCTACACCAGCTATCTATCGGCCAGACACTCACTCTACTCCAGCATCGCACAACAGCAAGGTCCCCGCCCACAGAGGAAGAACATCCAGCCAGGCACAACAAACAGGAGTGCAAACAGAAAGTTACACTGCAGTAGCTTCAAAACAAACAGCGGAGCAGAACACATACAGCCAAATCAGAGACATGCTGGCACTCATCTGCTCAAAACACCTGAACTGACCTAAACTGATCATAGGTATGACAACACTCATATAGGTATGAGTGTGAAAGTGTCTGCATGTATATGTAAATATGAATGATAGCTAAATACACACAAATGTGAACATAAAGATGTAAAATAAATAAATAAAAATTAAAAAACAACAACTATGTAAATACAACAGATACAAAAGTAACTGAATTGAATTTTATTTAGTTTAACCAGAAATTTATATCAGTTTAAATGTCATCCCTTCGTATTAACAGTTGGAATATACAGGGCCTGAACTCTTCAACATTTGGATTGAAGAGTGCAAACCCTGACTTTATACACACTATTAGAAACATGGATATTGTTATTCTACTTGAAACATGGTGTATCAAAGATTTATTTACATATTGTCCCAGTAATTTCAGAGAACTTATTGTTCCCTCGGTAAAACATCCCCAAATAAAGAGTGGAAGGAAATCAGGAGATTTAGAAAAATATATATCTCCTGTTAAAAGGGGTAAAGCACATTTTTGGTTTGCCCTATAATGCTGTACCGAAAGAAACATAAAGAGCCATATTTGATTGAAGGCAAAGAGAACAATCTGTTTAATTTACGCACCACTTTCAAATGGACAAACAGTAGCACTGTCAGATTTGAAGCAGCTCTTAGAAATAAGGAAATAAACCTTATGTTAGACACATTTCTTGACTCATCTTATGACAAAAATGTCCAAATGGCAACCAAAACATTAAATGATATATTTAATACTCTGGCAGTTATTTCAGATCTCAAAAGAACTGATAAAAAAGAACAAATTCAAATAAAGCCTGCAAAGAAAGATGGTTTGACAGTGAATGTGCAACATCAAGAAACTTCCTTAGAAAACTTTCAAACCAGAAACATAGAAACCCTACAGACCAAGAACTCAGCCTACAGTATTTATCTGAACTGAAAAAACACAAAAAACTACTGCATGACAAAACGACCAAATGTATGTCCACTCGATTATCAGAAACTGAACAAGCAGTTGAAAACACATTCTGGGATATGTGGAAATCATTAAATAAAACAAAACAAAGAATGCATACCAATCCAAAATGGCAACATCTGGAAAACACATTTTGAATCCTTGTATGAGAACCCATGACACAAAGGTCTCAACTAAACACAGACACAAAGAACCATAGAAGAAATATAGAGGAATACATAGAGGAATCTGTAAAAAACAAACTAACCCAACTGGACACACCTATAACAATCACAGAACTCAAAGACCAAATTCACAAACTAAAGGTAAACAAAGCCTCTGGACCCGACATGATCAGACCAGAAATGCTCAAATACAGCAGCCCTAAGCTTCAGATGGCAGTGCTGAAACTGTTCAACCTGATTTTAAATACTGGTGAATTCCCTGAAATCTGGAACAAGGGCTTCATCACCCTGATCTTCAAAAGTGGAGATAAACTACAGCCTTCAAACTACAGAGGAATCTGTGTGAGTAGCGTATTAGGAAAGGTCTTCCGTAGTATAATTAACACCAGGATTCAAACATTTACGGCATTTTGGCAGACGCTCTTATCCAGAGCAACTTACAGTAATTTTACAGAGGCAAAGGTAGTGTTAGGAGTCTTGCCTAAGGACTCTTATTGGTATAGTGTAGGGTATTTACCAAGGTGGGGTTTGAACCCCAGTCTACAGTGTAGAAGGCAGAGGTGTTACCCACTACACCACCACCAAACATTTCTAAATACAAACAAGATAATCAATAAATCTCAAATTGGCTTCTTACCAAAACATAGAACAGCAGATCATCTGTACACCCTCCAAACCCTAATGAACAACCACGTCCACAACAAACCACAAGGAAAAACCTTCGCCTGCTTTGTGGACTTTTTGCTTTTGACTCTGTGTGGCACAAAGTACTATTTTACAAACTAATACAAAGTGGTGTTGGAGGTCAAATATACAATATAATAAAAACCATATACAGTAACACACAGTGCTGCGTAGAGATCGACACAAAGAGAACAGCATATTTTAAACAAAGCAAGAGAGTAAAACAAGGCTGCAGCTTGAGTCCCACCTTGTTTAATGTATATATAAATGAATTGGCCACTAAATTCAACCGATCCTGGACTCTCAGAAGACCAGGAAATAAAACACCTAATGTACGCAGATGATCTGGTAATATTAGCACCAACAAAAGACGCTGACCAGCAGAACCTGTCAATACTGGAGACTTACTGTAAAGATTGGGCCCTTACAGTAAATATGGACAAAACAAAAATAATGTTTTCTCAAAATAAAGCCAGATTACAGGAGAAGAAATACCAGTTTACTTTCGAAGACACAGTAATATCACACACCACCAACTTTTCTTATTTAGGTGTGATATTAAATTCAGCAGGAAATTTTAAATCAGCGATTGCAGCACTGACGGAAAAAGCTCGCAGATCTTACTACATGAGAAAAAAATAAGTTTTGTAACAAATTTTGTAATTTCATCTTAAAATTACGAAATTTGGGACAATTCCATCTTGAATTCTGCAAAGACGTCCTGCAGATGAACAGAGGTGTCTCTAATCTGGCCTGCAGAGCAGAGCTGGGCAGGTTTCCACTGATTCTGGACATCCAGAAAAGATGCTGTAAATTCTGGTACCACCTGACCCAGTCAGATCCAAACTCCCTTCACTATAAAGTCTTCATCAGCAACAAGACAGACCCAAACCACCCACTAAACCAGCTCGCCAGGATAAAGAACTTAGAGGCCAACCTAAGCGCTCCACACTGAGAGAGGCTGAGGATGATAGCAGAGCAGATCACAGCCTCTACTGGAGAAACCAGATCACTCACCAACACAAACTCACGTTACGAAATGCTTGATCGGAAATACTCATTAGCCAAACTAACGAAATACAGACTGAGTGACCATAAACTGGCCATTGAAACAGGGAGGCACAGAAAAAGCAGGCTGGACAGAGAGAACAGGATCTGCACCCACTGCCCATCAGGAGAGACAGAAACTGAGAATCACTTCCTTCTTTCATGTTCAGAATATAAAACCATCAGAGACTCTTTTCTGACAAAATTTACTAATAAAACCCCCTCCTTCCCCAAACTGACCGACTCAGAGGAAATGAAGATTTTACTGGGAGAAAATGTAGAACACTGACCAACTGCATGTTTCATTATAAAGAGACCAAAATTAGTCCATTTAACTGGATTTAGTGCCAAATACTGAATAAAAATAATTGTGTTCACAGTTTCTGATATTTTTTTTAAATGTAGCACTGCTGGTTCTTTTGTCTCTGTTCCATCTGCTCAGCTCTCTGCGAAAATAAATATTGTGACATTGTGTATCATGAACATTTCTTGAAGTATTGTGATATTATATTTTTACCATATCGCCCACCTCTAGCCCTACCTATAGTTGATGATACGTGTATGTGTGTTTCACGCTCTTCTCCAGCAGGATCGCGTGGGGCATCAGGAGGAGATACGTAAGGACCGAGAGTTTCACGCTCGTCTGGCTGCTGAGTGCACTCAGTCCAAACACCAAAAACACTTCAACATCTGCAGGGAGATTCCGGAGCAGATCGTAGATCTGGCAACCAAGAGTGGGGAGTACCGCCTGCTCACGGCCAAGTACGATTTAAGACCTTTACACACGGAATATGATTTATTGGCCCTATTTACTCAGATATCAGTAAATCAATTCAAACACAGCGATAACTGACGATACCTTGCACTAAACAGTCTGGTGGATTAGCTCTGTCCCAGCAACTAGAACTTTCAGACAAACATCAGAAGGATTGCTGTGCCTACTGAAATGGAAAGATGTCCATTTTGGATGGACATCTTTCCATCCAAAATGGACATCTTTCCATGTCCAACCTAATATATTTGGAGCAATGTTTGAAGGGAATGGTGAGGATCACCTTATAAATAAATAAACTTTTTATGTTTTTCTCTCTGTATTTCTCTCCATTGTAGTGATATTCCTCTGAAGTTGATGAGGGAGTGGAAGGAGATGTATTTCAGTGGTAAGCCGCTGTATGAAGTGTCTGAGCTGGAGTTAGGGGCAGAGCCTGCAGAGCCCAGCCCAGAACAAACAATCCAGCTGGAGAAACTAAACATCCTCAACCAGCAGGACTATGATGAGTACACAGTGAGTAGAGTCTGTTAGTCTAATAGTTTCATAATGAGTTAGTTTAAAAACATTAGTGTGTTTGTAATTTCATGATGTGACGTGGTGACAGAAAATCAGACGCTTGCAGATGTAAAAATGAAGGTGGTTTATTAACACCAAACCAACCGTAAGCAAAAAGGGCAAAGCTCAAATCGAAGTCAAAAACACAGGCCAAAATTCAAAGCACAGATCTGTCAGAACAGCGAAAGTACCAAGGGAAGAGGCAAAAAGTCAAAAACAGAACAAACGAAGCAAAGGTCAAAACACAGAGTATAATCAATCAGGCAAATAATGCTCAGTAGGTTTCTAGGAAACAATACCTCGCAAACATTCAGACTAAAGCCCGGGCTTAAATACTGCTAACTATCTGTCATATGATCATATGCACAGATGAACATAGTTAGTACTCAGGGGATTGAGAGCGCTGATAGGTTCGCCGGTGAAAGTCCAAAGTCACATGAGATCCCATTGAATTCTGGGCAATGGAGTTCTCTCCGGAGCTGGATTCCGAGTGCAGATGTTCAGTCATCTGATCTCCCAGAGGATTCTGGGAGATGAAGTCCGTGTCTTCCAGAGAGTTGACCGAATGCGTGACACTTGAATTATATATATAATGTATAATTTATACTTAAATAACAACAACAATGAAAAGAGTGTCACAAAGGAGAAATATTGAGACGTAGGACAAAACACTAACAAGGCAGGGCTAGTGAGGGGACTGGAGAGGGTGGAGTCCATGACAGATCTTCCCTCAAGACATAAATGCTAAGAGATGCAACTGGGTACAGAAGCAGGAAATTCATAGTAGGATGGAGGACAGAAAAACATACAGGGTGTGGAACTGGGACCAACACGGTCACTAGAAAAAAGATGAGAGTGGTGAAGGGCAGAGCAGAAAACTGGAGACTGTGAAACAGGTAACTCAGGGTCAGTCAAGCAGAGAAGTGGGGAGCCTTGTCAAGCAGAGGCATGGGGGGACTGCCAAGCAGGAAGCTAGGGGGCTGGACAGGCAGGGAATATGGTGGAACTGTTGAGCAGGGAAGTGGGGGGGCTCTCAAACAGGGAATTGGGGAGACTGTTGAGCAGGAACATAGGGGGGCTGCAGAATATGCAACCGGGGATCCTGTCAAACAGGAAACTGGGGAAGTGTTGAGCAGAGAACCAGAGGGACTTTTGACCATCGTCATGAAGGTCTGATAAACAAGGAGCTGGAGGGGACTGTTGAACAGGGAATTTGGGAGACAGGTAGGGAACTGGAGGGACTATCGAGCATGGACATGGGAAACTGTGGAACAGGAAACTGGGGGAGTGTTGAGCAGAGAACTGGAGGGATTTTTGACCATGATCATGAAGGTCTGATGAACAGGGAGCTGGAGGGGACTGTTGAACAGGGAATTTGGGAGACAGGTAGAGAACCGGAGGGACTATCAAGCATGGACATGGGAAACTGGAGAAACTTTGAAACAGGGAACTTGTGGGAACTGTTGAGCAGGGAATTTCACTGTCTGTCATGCACAGAACTAGAGTGACTATCGAGCATTGACATGGGGGATTATAGAATAGGAAACTGGGGAAAATGTGAAATAGGGAACTTGGGGGGACTTTTGAAAGGAACTGAGGGGACTGTTTTGCAGAGAACTGGGCGAACTGGAGGGACTGTCAAACAAGGATATGGGGAACTGTTGAGCATGGAAGAACTGTTGAAGCTGGACATGGGATAAAGTTAAGCAGGGAAGTAGGAGGACTGCTGAACCCAGACATGGGGTAAAGTTCATCACGGAACTAGATGGACTGTTGAATCTGGACACGGAGTAAAGTTGATCAGGGAACTATAAGGACTGTTGAACCTGGACATGGAGTAAAGTTGAGCAGGGAACTGGAGAGATTGTTGCGCAGGAATCTGGGGGATGTGGTATATTAGTGTTTTTTGCGAGTGTACTGCTTAATTTTTAGTTTCTTAGAAAATTCATTTCTTAATTTCTTTGAGTTTGCTATTTTACTGTTAATTAGATTGTCTTTGATTTTAGTTAATTTAATGGTTGTTTGAAATCAAAAAGGTTACAAAAATTTGTTTGTGGTGTTTGTTGCAGAATATGACGGGTGAATGGACGTGGCCTGAAGAAGAAGGAGAGAGCAGAGCTCCGCCCACCAATAATGATATTCTGGGCCATGTTGTTGCTCGTCTGCAGAGCATTGTTAATCCCCCTTGCCTGAATGACCCTTCACCACAATTCCCAAATTTCTCTCTCAGAGCATGTGTGCTGGGAAAGGTGTGCTCTGGCAAGACCACCTGCCTCACAAGGATCAGCGAGGGTACTCCAACCTACACAATGAGACTTGCCCTCAGTTTCAGTTTCCCCTCTTACCTCAAATACAGCCGATCAGCCATGACACGTTTGGTGTCTCAAGTTCATTTTTTTGTTTGTCAGGTAACTGGCAAAATGGAAAACTACCAGCTTTACATAAAGTCCATCAGGAGGCTCTAACATGATGTTGTTTGACATGATCACGTGATGTTTTTATTGGTTATTTCATGAAGAGACGATTACAACTGTTAAGGCTGAGTTTCAAGTGATAATGCTTTGTGCACCTCAGGTGAAATTTAGTTGATGTAAGTTTTTAAGGTAGTAAAGTTTTTCACTGTGTGAAGTCTAATGTCTTAACTGCATTTGGGGTGAAAGAGGAAACTGCAAAGTTGATTATTTGTTAAACTATTGCTTTAAGGTTTCTTACAGCTTTTTAGTATCTTTACAAATTTAGTGTTTATTCTGCTGAATTTACTGATTAACTCACTGCCTTCCATGCAGTACATGGCATCCACATTCTTTCAGCTGATATACTGATCCAGGAGGCGCTGGCTGCCCGCCAAGCTGGAGAACAGGTCCTGAGTGACCACAGCCCAGAGCTTGAGGTACCGACTACCACAATGTTCTCATGAAAAAATCATATTTGCAGTACTCGATCAGCTGAGAATTCTTAACAAAAAACAGAAAAATCTAATTGTCAGTACTCAATCAGCTGAGAGTTCTTTATGAAAGCTATGGTAATGTACTTTAGTCGATTTTCATAGATAACAGTGAGTCATAACAGTATCAGACACCACATAATCAACTCCACACCGTTTGAGGCAAAAAGCTGAATTCGGCCTCCTATTTGCCAGCATCTTATTCTAATTTTGGTTTTAATCATCACACATTTACGGCATTTGGCAGACGCTCTTATCCAGAGTGACTTTTTTTTAACACAGGTAAAGGGAAAAGGTAGTGTTAGGAGTCTTGCCCAAGGGCTTTTATTGGTATAGTGTAGGGTGCTCACCCAGGCCAGTGTTCAAACCCCAGTCTACAGCATAGAGGGCAGTGGTGTTACCCACTACACTATACCAACCACACAGTCACAATTTTCCTTTCCACCTCAAATAGCACAGACGTTACGGAAGGGACAATTCCAATAAGAAGCTGGTACATAGAAGATCTTCTTCACCAACATGTCATGCAAGTGTGTGAGGATTTAAGCATGCAGTTAGCACCATGCTAATTAGTGAGGCTTCTATTACTTGTTAGCCACATTAGCCTCATAGCTCCAGTACTAAAACTAAAAGCAAACTTCAGACACCAAATGTGTCTTGGCTGATCGACTGCATTTGGAGTGATGGAGGGAAAATCTTTCTGCTGAACTCTTGCTTGAATCTGTCTGTTTGAGCTGTACTGTTTGCTCTGTGGTGTAGACGAGTGCGGAAAGCTGTGGATCTGATACTCAGGAAGCTGAGCAGAGAGAGGAGGAGTCATCTACTGCTGCAGACTCAGGTATGTATATCCATTACTGTAATAACCAAAAGGAAGACATGCAATAATGACAATACATACGCTAACATTCAAATTATCGGAATCACTGGTCATATTATTACATTTTTCCCCAGGTCCTGTGTCCAAAGACCTGCCTAAAAAAGACAGCAAGACTAAAGTAAGCACTGCAGAGATTTACAGTAGTCACAGTAATGTTCTCAGACAGACTCTCATTCTTAATGACCTTAGAGACATTTTGATCTAAAGGCATCTACTTAAAAGCTTAACATCTGTTTCTAAGACAAATATACCTGTCTTACACTTTGACTGGTGCTGTTCACACTTAGTGGCAGTCAGTGAGATGTTGTGTGTTGCTGTTTACCCAGCAGTCTTTGCGGGCGCAGCATGGTGCAGCAGTGGAGAAGGCGCTGAGGAGGGGTGGAGCCATTCCTGATGAGCTCCTCATTGACATCTTCATACATGCAGTCAGGTACACACCTGGGCACCTGCCTGACACATCTGTGTGACACACCTGCCTCATACACCTTCTACTTCTGGCTCTTACACTTGACTGAGACACCTAACTGATACACCTGTCTCATATACCTGCCTCTTACATCTGCCTCTTACACCTGACTGACACGTCTGTGTGACACATCTGCCTCATGTACCTGCCTTATACACCTTCTATTTCTGGCTCTTACACTTGACTGAGACTCCTAACTGATACCTCTGCCTCATATACCTGCCTCTTACATCTGTCCCTTACACCTGACTGATGCACCTGCCTCTTATACCTGACTGAAACATCTGTTAAAAATGCCTCATCTGTTCTGGCCTCTCTGGCGCCCCCTGGTGTGTGCTGCAGGCAGGTTCCAGAGGGCCGTGGTTGGGTTCTGGATGGGTTCCCAACAAACGTGTCTCAGGCCCGGCTGCTGGAGAAGGCCCTGAGCGGAGCCGACCCGGACCAGGCTGACAGGAAGAGGCGGAACAAGAAGCCTAACCTGGTGGAAGACAAGAATGCCCCCAAAGCCCCGCCCCCTCCTTTACCTGCACTGCACCTGGCCGTGCTGCTTGAGGTCTCAGACGAGCAGGTGCTGGACCGGGCTCTCCACCAGAGTCGTGAGTCCACAGTTTTAGATTCTGCCTTCTGATCTGTGTTGTAGTCATTTCAGGTATGAGTGTACCTGTTCAGTCCTGAGTTTCTCTGAGCTTTAAAAGCTTTAAAAGCTAAAGATACACTGATTAAGTTTTATTTAAATGTTTCCCAGCAGAGCAGGTGAGAGAGGAGAACGCTAATAAGACCGATGACACTCTGCCAAAGACGCAGGACCAAATACTTCCTCCGGAACATACACAACAGAGTGCTCCCCCTGCTGGAGACCACACACACATCCAGCACAGGTAGAGTTCATCAATAACAGCCAACGCCCAGACCTGCCCTGTTTCTGCTGATGGTGTAATGGAAATTAGGAACATTTCAGTTTCATTTACAAACTTCTACCAGCTTCTAACTTGATTCATTATGGTAAATACTGACTGGCTCTACTTTGCTGTATCATAATTGTCTCAAATCCTTGGTCAAGAGAGAAAAGGGGTCCTCTTCCCAGTCCTGGAGATCCCACACCACACACATTGTTGTGTTCCCCTGTTCTAGCACACATTAATTAATTAATGAAGTCATTCCTCGTGTGCTGGTCAGGTGTGTTAGAGTAGGGAAAACACAGGAATGTGCAAAGCATGGGGTCCCCATGACTGATATTAGGAACCACTGAGCTATTATATTTTTATTTGGATTTTGCCTCATACTTCCCCAGTTCTACTGTATGGAGCCTAATGGACATTAAAGGACAGGTTTTCCACTAGTGGTTTGTGTATATTAGTGTTCTCAAGCGACTGTTATTAAGATATTCTGGTGGGTTTCGTCGCTTAACATGGTCAATAATCATCATGCCTCGTCAGGTAATTACCAAGGCCTTCATGAACTGAATTCTGAGTGCTGGAAGAGGGAAAGCGCTAATCTGCGCAGAGCTGTGGCCTGGAAGGAACCCAGTTTGACACCCATGATCTAAGAGCTCATATGAAGCACTGGGGGTCATTTCACAAAGCAGCATTTCTCAGGCAACCTAGTCGTTCCTGTCGGACAACCCTCCACTTGGGATTAAGTTATCCAGTTTATGCAGTAATCCTGCCCTATGAAATACAGTGCTGTTTTGATGCTGGTAGTTTTGTGGTGCTACAACAAAAACAGACTTACAGGAACCCAGAGCTGAACTGATATCCTGGTCTAAAGGGCACCTCAGATTTTCAGGGGGATTTTAAGCAATATCTGCAGAAGTCTGATCTAAAGCAAAAGTTTGATTTTCAGGGAGGACTTAAAGCAGTATCTGCAGAAGTCTGATCTAAAGCAGGAGTTTGTGTGTGTTTTTCAGGGAGGACTTTAAGCAATATCTGCAGAGGTCTGATCTAAAGCAGGAGTTTGTGTGTTTTTCAGGGAGGACTTTAAGCAGTATCTGCAGAGGTCTGATCTAAAGCAGGAGTTTGTGTGTTTTTCAGGGAGGACTTTAAGCAGTATCTGCAGAGGTCTGATCTAAAGCAGGAGTTTGTGTGTTTTTCAGGGAGGACTTTAAGCAGTATCTGCAGAGGTCTGATCTAAAGCAGGAGTTTGTGTGTTTTTCAGGGAGGACTTTAAGCAGTATCTGCAGAGGTCTGATCTAAAGCAGGAGTTTGTGTGTTTTTCAGGGAGGACTTTAAGCAGTATCTGCAGAGGTCTGATCTAAAGCAGGAGTTTGTGTGTGTTTTTCAGGGAGGACTTTAAGCAGTATCTGCAGAGGTCTGATCTAAAGCAGGAGTTTGTGTGTTTTTCAGGGAGGACTTTAAGCAGTATCTGCAGAGGTCTGATCTAAAGCAGGAGTTTGTGTGTGTTTTTCAGGGAGGACTTTAAGCAGTATCTGCAGAAGTCTGATCTAAAGCAGGAGTTTGTGTGTTTTTCAGGGAGGACTTTAAGCAGTATCTGCAGAGGTCTGATCTAAAGCAGGAGTTTGTGTGTGTTTTTCAGGGAGGACTTTAAGCAGTATCTGCAGAAGTCTGATCTAAAGCAGGAGTTTGTGTGTGTTTTTCAGGGAGGACTTTAAGCAGTATCTGCAGAGGTCTGATCTAAAGCAGGAGTTTGTGTGTGTTTTTCAGGGAGGACTTTAAGCAGTATCTGCAGAAGTCTGATCTAAAGCAGGAGTTTGTGTGTTTTTCAGGGAGGACTTTAAGCAGTATCTGCAGAGGTCTGATCTAAAGCAGGAGTTTGTGTGTTTTTCAGGGAGGACTTTAAGCAGTATCTGCAGAGGTCTGATCTAAAGCAGGAGTTTGTGTGTGTTTTTCAGGGAGGACTTTAAGCAGTATCTGCAGAGGTCTGATCTAAAGCAGGAGTTTGTGTGTTTTTCAGGGAGGACTTTAAGCAGTATCTGCAGAGGTCTGATCTAAAGCAGGAGTTTGTGTGTGTTTTTCAGGGAGGACTTTAAGCAGTATCTGCAGAGTCTGATCTAAAGCAGGAGTTTGTGTGTTTTTCAGGGAGGACTTTAAGCAGTATCTGCAGAGGTCTGATCTAAAGCAGGAGTTTGTGTGTTTTTCAGGGAGGACTTTAAGCAGTATCTGCAGAGGTCTGATCTAAAGCAGGAGTTTGTGTGTTTTTCAGGGAGGACTTTAAGCAGTATCTGCAGAAGTCTGATCTAAAGCAGGAGTTTGTGTGTGTTTTTCAGGGAGGACTTTAAGCAGTATCTGCAGAAGTCTGATCTAAAGCAGGAGTTTGTGTGTGTTTTTCAGGGAGGACTTTAAGCAGTATCTGCAGAGGTCTGATCTAAAGCAGGAGTTTGTGTGTGTTTTTCAGGGAGGACTTTAAGCAGTATCTGCAGAGGTCTGATCTAAAGCAGGAGTTTGTGTGTGTTTTTCAGGGAGGACTTTAAGCAGTATCTGCAGAGGTCTGATCTAAAGCAGGAGTTTGTGTGTGTTTTTCAGGGAGGACTTTAAGCAGTATCTGCAGAGTCTGATCTAAAGCAGGAGTTTGTGTGTGTTTTTCAGGGAGGACTTTAAGCAGTATCTGCAGAGGTCTGATCTAAAGCAGGAGTTTGTGTGTTTTTCAGGGAGGACTTTAAGCAGTATCTGCAGAGGTCTGATCTAAAGCAGGAGTTTGTGTGTGTTTTTCAGGGAGGACTTTAAGCAGTATCTGCAGAGGTCTGATCTAAAGCAGGAGTTTGTGTGTGTTTTTCAGGGAGGACTTTAAGCAGTATCTGCAGAGGTCTGATCTAAAGCAGGAGTTGTGTGTGTTTTTCAGGGAGGACTTTAAGCAGTATCTGCAGAGGTCTGATCTAAAGCAGGAGTTTGTGTGTTTTTCAGGGAGGACTTTAAGCAGTATCTGCAGAGGTCTGATCTAAAGCAGGAGTTTGTGTGTTTTTCAGGGAGGACTTTAAGCAGTATCTGCAGAGGTCTGATCTAAAGCAGGAGTTTGTGTGTTTTTCAGGGAGGACTTTAAGCAGTATCTGCAGAGGTCTGATCTAAAGCAGGAGTTTGTGTGTTTTTCAGGGAGGACTTTAAGCAGTATCTGCAGAAGTCTGATCTAAAGCAGGAGTTTGTGTGTTTTTCAGGGAGGACTTTAAGCAGTATCTGCAGAGGTCTGATCTAAAGCAGGAGTTTGTGTGTTTTTCAGGGAGGACTTTAAGCAGTATCTGCAGAGGTCTGATCTAAAGCAGGAGTTTGTGTGTTTTTCAGGGAGGACTTTAAGCAGTATCTGCAGAGGTCTGATCTAAAGCAGGAGTTTGTGTGTTTTTCAGGGAGGACTTTAAGCAGTATCTGCGGAGGCCTGATCTAAAGCAGGAGTTCGTGTCCGTGTGGCAGCGAGACTTTAACAGCGTTCCTGATGACATGAGGCAGGATGAGGAGACCAAAGCTGAGCTTCACCACAGACTGGACGTGAGACACAAACCCACCAACACACTTTCTTTACAGCCACATCATTCAATACACTTACCGTACAGCTGTATTAATGATAGGCTACTCTACAGTATCTTTTACAGGTCCTGTGGTTTGGTGACAGCTGTGTGGTGTAGCTTTGCATATCGTTTCACACTTTTAATATTGGTACTTATATTCCACCAATTAAATGTAGTTCCAGCAACTTAGGCCTGATTAACACATACTGCATCTGTGAGGCGTGAGCAACGCGGAAAGTCTTGCTTTTCATTTCAGCGCACATGTTAATCAGCGCTTTCATACATGCTGTGTTTTTTTCAGTGTGCTGTGGACTTCACACAGCAAAATATACTGAAATTAGCCATTAAATTAATGAAAATAAAACCCTATTTTTAAATTCATATTTTTTACTGTTTGATGAAATACTAGTTAAACATTCAGTGTTGCAAACAGATTTCCCGGTTGGTCCATGAGGCATGAAACTTTTACTTAATCACAAGTCAAAATGCTGTTGAGGGTAAACAAACATACCGTGCACTATTATAAATGATATTTTATTGAGCAGACTGATGATTTATCTGGAAAATGGAAGGTCTGTTTAACTTTCTTGACGCTCTGGTCCGCAGAACAAACCCTGTATGTATGAAAGGCCAGCACGTTCGGGCTGTAGCGCTCACACTGCCACATTACCAGCACCACAAGCATTGTTACTGCCTGACGACATTTGGTCATATACATAAAATTGATGAAAAAACTGCTGTTATCAGATAAAACAAGACAAACAAAACACTTTTCTATCAATCTGATTGAGTGGGCGGAGCTAAGTGTTGTATAATCCACACTTTTTTGTCACCGCTGTTGACAGACTGTACCAGAGTCTCGTATCCTGTGTCAGCTGTATCGGCACATGTGAAATCACTCCAAACCTCCTGACTGACTGTGTTTGATTTGCTTCATATTCTCAGGAAATAACGTCATTGTGCCGAACTGATAGTGTGTAAAATTTAGGCTTTCTATCTTCATTATTCAGAAATATGGAGGCTTTAAAAAGTGAGCGTGGCCCTAATTTTTTGTCTATGAATGAACACTATGGGAAAATTCAACCAGTCGCAAATGTTGAATTTTTGATGGTATCTGTAATTAATTTAATTTTCAGGGCTTATTCTCACTTCTCACTTCTCACTGTATGACCATATTTAACCAGAGCATCAGATGAATTCAGTCAGCTTAGCCTACAAAACACGCAGCAAATTATTATAAGTAAATTTACATATTCACAACACATATGGAACATAATATATATGTATATACATAATGCATGAGACGTGTTAATGTTACATACAGCTACCATTATATATAGGAGTTGCGGGAGCGTCTGTGGGATATCTGTGATAAGAGAAGGGAGGAGGCGATGGAGGAGAGAGCTGGAGTTATAGGAGACGGCTGGCTGAAGGATCACACTGCCCTGCTGATCAACCACTACTCCACTCTAATGCAGGTCAAACACACACCCACATACACACCCACACACACCCACACACACACACACACACACACACACACTCATATAATACTCTCTGGGAGATCATACAGTCTGGTACAGACACAGGTTCCCTGAAGCTGAGAGATGATGTGAGGACGTCTGGTGTGTGTGCAGGTGGAGGTGGACAGGTTTCAGGACACTCTGCGTGTGCTGAGAGATTATTACACAGGTATGTACAGGAGTGTGTTACCTGAAGCACCTCAGGACTTCACCTGCCTCCCACTGCTGGACATCACCAACAACAACGGCAGCCAGCCGGACAGGACCAAAAGGTGAATTACTCTACATATCCCATAATATTACACTAAACATCCCATAATAGTACACTGCACATCCCATATTATTCAATGCTACCACTGTAGAACAGGCTCAGTTTATATCACAATACCTACATTTAGAGTCAGTTATTCATTCAGCCTAATGAGAAACTGTAGAACAGACTCAGTTTATATCACAATACCTACATTTAGAGTCAGTTATTCATTCAGCCTAATGAGAAACTGTAGAACAGGCTCAGTTTATATCACAATACCTACATTTAGAGTCAGTTATTCATTCAGCCTAATGAGAAACTGTAGAACAGACTCAGTTTATATCACAATACCTACATTTAGAGTCGGTTATTCATTCAGCCTAATGAGAAACTGTAGAACAGACTCAGTTTATATCACAATACCTACATTTAGAGTCGGTTATTCATTCAGCCTAACGAGAAACTGTAGAACAGACTCAGTTTATATCACAATACCTACATTTAGAGTCGGTTATTCATTCAGCCTAATGAGAAACTGTAGAACAGACTCAGTTTATATCACAATACCTACATTTAGAGTCGGTTATTCATTCAGCCTAATGAGAAACTGTAGAACAGACTCAGTTTATATCACAATACCTACATTTAGAGTCAGTTATTCATTCAGCCTAATGAGAAACTGTAGAACAGACTCGGTTTATGTTGTGGGTGGAGTCTGGATAGGACAGTTATCATGTCATCTCTATAGTGTCCTCATTAGTGATGTTAAGAATAGAGGAACTCGTAGGGGAAGGTGTGAGGTGGTCTGTAGGGGATTGTTATGAGGTTCTTTAATGCTCAGTGTGTTGATGTACGTTGTTAGAGATTGTGTGTATGTTCTTGCAGCCCTTCTGGCCCCGCCCCTTCAGAGAGACTCACAAAGAGTGCTGGGAAAAAAAACACAGAGCCAGAGGAGAAGAAAACCAAAGTGTAAGAACACACACACACACACACACACACACACACACACACACACACACACGCATATATATATAGTCACTGCCAGAACAAAACCTCTAATTTTTATATATTTTTACCTGCTGCTGTTTAAACTGTGTTAATATTTCATAATGAACAAACTAACATAAATGGTCTAAAATGACTTAGAAATAAATTTTGTTTCATTAACTTACGTTGAAAGTTAATAATGTTCTTTATTTCTCCTGTAAATTTACTTCTTTAGAGATATTAAGTTTTTGCACAGCCACAATACAAATACATATACATGCTGTGTTTCTGTTTGTGCAGAGTTCCTCTGATTGGACGCAGGTCGCCCTCTACAGACCCCTCCAGGCTCCTGCAGGACATCCATCAAACTGCCCTCACTGCCATCACCAACATGGTAACAAACACAGTTCGAAGCCTCTGTTTCTGAACCAGTTTGAAACACCTTCTCTATGAGACTCAGTTTGGACCAACATTCACTGTCATCTCTGATGTCTCTGAATACAGTAGTACTGATTACTGATGTCTGTCCCAGTGTGTAACTGAGGAAGCAGTACTGAAAGCAGCATGTACTTCCATTACATACATATTACTAGTAATAAAAGCGAGAGCTGCGACGTTAGTGTGTGTGTGTGTGTGTGTGTGTGTGTGTGTGTGTGTGTGTGTTAGGCGTCAGTGGAGGTTCAGCAGGTGGAGATGGAGGTGAACCAGGAGGTTCAGCAGCAGCAGATGGAGAGAGAGAAAGCACTCTCTCAGGCTTCAGCCACAAACTCCGCCAAGAAGAAATCAGCCAAGAAGAAAGGTACACAAACACACACACACACACACACACACACACTCTTCCAGAGTATGAAACACACACACACACTTCCAGCTGTCATCCAGTAGGGGGCAGTATATTTCCCCACATTAGATTAGATTTCATTAGATTCAACTATTGTCAATACAGTATTATTTACATATAAGGTGCAGAAGGGTGGTATAGTGGTAAAACAATATATAGATATGCAAGTATACATATAATATACATCTTTACAGAGTGAGTGGACAGTGTACACTGAGGTAGTAAGTCCTGTGAGAGCAGCATATGTAAAAGATAAGTATGCAGAGTAAACGTACCGTAACTGTTGGTGCAAAAATGAATAGAGCAGTAACAGTGCAGTGACTGCAAAGGTTAAAGTGGCCGTGTGGAGTTCAGCAGTTAAAGTCACAGTGTGGAGGTCAGCAGGGTCACACCCTCAGGGAGTCTGTGGTGGCCTGGGCTGCAGACACACTACAGTCTGTGTGAGGAGTCAGCCCCTTCCATCCAGATCTTCACAGATCTCGTTGTGGGTTTCACACCACTGATGACTTGGGGGTGGGACCAAAGAGAGGTGGTCAGACTGTCCCAGGTGGTAGAGGGGTGTGGCTTTGGAGGCGTTAGCCACACAGGTGTTAACATTAACCAAACATCTCTGTCGCCTTGTGGTTCAGGAGACATTCTGATGGAACTTTGGAAGTACAGATCTCAGATTACTGTGATTAAAGTCCCCGGCAACAATAAAGCCTCCATCCAGGTTCACAGTCTGCAGTTTGCTAATGGCAGCACAAAGAAGATAGGGAAGATAGAAGGGTCTGCATTTAATAATCAGGAATTTCAGATCAGCAGAGCAGTGGGTATCATCAGCGACGGAGTCTGTGCACCATGCTTTGTTTAGATAAATGCCAACACACTGTTATGTATTATTACTTAAATAAAGGCAGTCAGGGACGTTCGTTTATCAGTTGTATTAGTGCTCCCTGTGATCTAAATGTGTCTAACAGTCTGTATGTTTACATGAACAAGGACCCACAGCTCATTTCAGTCTGATAACAAACACAGAGAGAGACTGATGTGGTAACTCCTCCACTCACCCAGTCTGATAGTAAACAGATATAAACGGCTATACGTCTCACTGTCCACTCAGATCACTGAGACAGATGTTTATCTGTAAGTGTGATCAGGGTCTATTTCACTGCATCGATGCTTTATTTTACTACAACCCAGCTTTCACTCAGCACTGACCAGGTCACCGCTTTAGAATCTGATTTCAGAGACGTGCAGGGCCTCCCTGGTTCTGCACGCTTAGACCTTGACTGTGAATAGTGAATAATCTGAATAATAATCTGTGTGGATTCAGCAGGTGAGCTACGTTTATTATGTAAAACACCCAAAGACATTCTTACTTTGCTAATTAAGTTTATTATTTTAAAACAAATAACAGATCAGTAGAAGAGACTGTTTGGTCAGTTTTAGCCTAAAGCTCCACAATAACAGCTGTACTTTGTGCATTTAACCACTAGGAGGCACTAATGTGCCCTGTTTTGTGAAAACTTCCAGTAATAAACTCTTTATTGCTTCCATTGTCATTGCTGCCGTGTGTGTGTGTGTGTGTGTGTGTGTGTGCTAAAGGCCCCCCGTCCCCGACCCAGGAGCCCACCCCTCCACCTCTGATAGAGGAGAGCCCGGAGGAGGTGCTGGGGAGAGCGGTGAGGAGCAGAATCAGACAGGAGTACAGCAGAGCACTGCAGCATGAAGGTACTTACAGACACATACATACGTCCTGTATGTGTTATATAAACATATCAAAACCTCAGATCTCCAATCAGACACTGTACAGCAGCTCAACTCATAATACAGGTTAACTTAATGTAAATGGAACTGGAGTTTTTCAGTTATGGAAAATATTTTAAAAAGAGCGGAGATACAATATTTTTTTGTGTGACAGCTACAATATTGTAATAATAATAATATGATCATTTATGGAACGTATATATGCAAATATCTATATGTAACAGTAACATATATTCTATATGTATAAGTAACAATACAGTATGACACTAATAATAGTATGACACTAAGATACTATTAGTACCATATATAAATATAGGTGCACTTATCTATTTGGATTCATCTATATTTTTAAAAAAGTACACATATATATGTCAGCATTTCTCTGTGTGTGTGTGTGTGTGTGTGTGTGTGTAGAGGGGGCGGCGAGGCAGCGTTTGGAGCTGGTGAAGCTTCACGCTTTGTCCTTCGTCCACAGCGTCCAGCACAGAGCAGAACAGACCCACACAGAGATGCAGGAGTGGCTGGACCACCGCTTCACCTCCGAGATGGACAGGTCAGAAAACACAGAGAGAGACGTAACACAGAGAAAAAGGAGGGTTTACAACAGGCCAAACTTTTTCAGACCCCCATAAACACCTTTGTGCCAAAAAAAAGAGCCAAACCCAAAATATAATGCTGTTTACTGCTGGTTCTGGCTGGTCAGAGTCCAGATTTAAACCCTATAGTGAGTATTTGGTCTCACATTCAACTCAAACCAGCTCTGCAGTGTTTTTCAGCTGTGTGGAGCCGTCAGTGCTGAGTGGATCAGTACTGACTCTTCTTTCTGTAGAAGACTGTCTGAACATTCACACACTAAACTCCAACACTTAAAGAAATTAAAGTGTATTAACTCACTTTATCTGTGTTTGATGATTTGTTGATAAGACCACTAAAAGCTTAATTTTTGAGATGGGCCCTGTTTGTTTTGCGCTGGAGTGTAAAGGTAGTTTTGGTCCTCAAAGCAGTAAAACAACCACAAAAAGTCCTTTAATCCCACTTTTACTCCATATTACTGTTCTTTAAACCAGCTAGAGCTGCAGCGAACATCACTACACATTTATTATTACACAAACACTGACATTGATCTGTACTTTCAGACACCTTCAGTATAAACACTTCAATACAGTTCATTAATACTCAGTTGGACACAGTGGGTCACGTCTCCACAGTCACGGTTAAACCACTGCTTTAGGTCAGAGGAGAGGAGTAGAGGCTCAGAGGGCGTCTGTACTGTACTGGAATATGAATATAGCTGTATTAGTGTACAGCTGCACTGTCTGTGTGTGTTATGTCTTTTATGTGTATTTTTGTGTGTGTGTGTGTGTTACTGTGTGTGTGTTACTGTGTGTGTGTGTGTGTGTGTGTGTGTTACTGTGTGTGTGTGTGTGTGTGTGTGTGTGTGTGTGTTACTGTGTATGTGTGTGTGTGTGTGCAGTATACAGCAGCTGTCTGAGGTGGTTCAGCACCACATCGAGAACAGTCTGAAGGTCCCTCACCAGCTGGTGCTGGACTGCACCGACTTCTTCATAGACGGGGAGACGCGGGTGTTACCCACTCCGCCCACTCCGCCCCGCCCACCACCGCTGGAACAAACCAATCACAGCACTCTCACCATCCTGCAGCTGCACGGTCTGCACGCCCAGCTGCACAAGATCGCCCCCACAGGTCTGGAGGAGCTCCTAACATTGAGCGCATTTACATGCACTTAATAATCTGATAACTGCAGAACATCAGATTTTGTCAGTAATCTGATCAACGTGTTTACATGCACTTGAGTAATCAGATAATGGGGAAACTCCGGGTCTACATGAGTCAGACAGTAATCAGATTTCTGGTTTGCAACCAGCCAATAAATTCACAGAAGGAGACGTGAAACTCATGAGCGGTTTAAAAAAACACACACCACACCACTTTACCTGAAAATATGAACATACATCATCTAGAAGACGAAGAGTATTTAAATCCTTCATTCCGCTGAGAGTGTAGTCGGTTTTAGCATCGCTCCAAACTAAACTTGCATATTTACAGTTTTACCGTGTGAAGCCAGCCTTATGTTTAATACAGGAAAAAAGATCTTTAATAAAAAAAAAAAGATCTGTAATTAAAACCGTTACATTCATCTGTTTTCTTTGTTTAAAGTTGTATTTATATAAATGTTAACATGTCATGTTTTTTTAAAACAGTTATTTAAAGACACTTAATGTCTGAACTTCAGATGAAATTTGGATGTAAATATTTCGACCCGGGCAGCACGGTGGAGCAGTGGGTAGCGCTGTCGCCTCACAGCGAGAATGGCCTGGGTTCGATTCCCGGCCGGGTGACCAGGGTCATTTCTGTGTGGAGTTTGCCTGTTCTCCCCGTGTCTGCGTGGGTTTCCTCCGGGTACTCCGGTTTCCTCCCACAGTCCAAAGACATGCAGTCAGGCCAATTGGACATGCTGAATTGCCCCTAGGTATGAGTGTGTGTGTGATTGTGTATGTCTGTCTGTCTGCCCTGCGATGGACTGGCGACCTGTCCAGGGTGTATCCTGGCTTCCGCCCAATGACAGCTGGGATAGGCTCCAGCACCCCACCGTGACCCAGAAGGATAAGCGGTTTAGATGATGTTTGTATGTATATATTTTGTCCCCACTTTTCCTTCAGTGATGGGACGTGTAAGTGAAAACCTAAGGCCAAAATTTTCACGTTTTATACACGTGACCACAGGCGAATATTTATCTAATTATCTGAAAAAGTCACACTAGATCAGATTTAACACAATTTAACACAATAACACTGTGTACTGCCTGTAGAGTTAGATCACTCAGAGGCAGCCAAACCTCCGTGTGTTGAGACATCACAGTCACAACTTTCTGGCTGTCTGGCTCACTACATTGAGGGGTCGAGCCTCAAACCAGGAAAGGTGGATATTCTGATCTTCTTGGTGAAAAGACGTAGAAGGCCTGAACCTCAATTAAAATAGTCTCAGTTTAAATCTCAGTCAGAGATATCAGTCAGAAAAATCATACACAATATCACAATAGCAGTCAGAGAAATCATAATTAGACATTTTCCCCAAATCGTTCAGCCTTCTGACTCTAATCCGAGTGTTCTTCTTGTTCTATGTAGGTCTGGTGTCCAGTACCGAGCTCTGTAAGGTCCTGCAGGAGCTGACCTCACTCACTATGGGCTCTGATGCTCTACCTGAAGCCTGGATGAACCTCACAGACTCACAGGTGCAACACTGACCTCGCACATCTTACCACTGCAATAGTTGAAGAAAAAATCACCCCCCCCCAAATCCCCCTTACTCCAAATTGATCCAAATTGATCAGGTGTCTGAAATTTAGCATTGGAGCTAACAAGTAATGGAAGCTTATATCCCACCAATTAGCATGGTGCTAACGGTATGCCTAACTCATCACTCGCTTAAACATGTTAGTGAAGTTGGCTTCCTATTCAGCAGCTTCTTCTTTGAAGTATCTGTTCCACCTTAAATGGCCACAATGTAACTGCTGCATGTATTTAAGGTGGAACGGAACATTCGTATTTTGCTTTCCTGAAACCTGAATTTCGTCTGTGCTTTAGTGCATGTTTACAGATATCAGTGTGTCGGACGGTGTGTTTTATGGTGCTGTGTGTGTGTGTAGGTCCAGGAGCTGGTGTGTGTGCTGTCTCAGGACCGTGAGGTAGTGGACTGGCGTCAGTTTTTACTGAGTGCGGCTCAGCCGTGGCCTTTACCCTCTCAGAACCAACTGCTGAAAACACTCAGACGCTTCAGAGAGAGAGACACTGCGGCCAGCGGAGTCCTTACACTGGAGCAATACAAGCAGGTATAAACACACAGAGGGGTCAGCTCTGAGACCTTCCGTCATGATACAAGGCATCAGATACTGGAGGACCACTAGGAATGGACTGTAACTTGGTGATAAACGCTGCTGTGATCGGCAGGGTGAGTGGGTCAGTGAGAGCTTTGTGTAATTAGGAGTTGTGTGTGGTTGTGCAGGTTGAGTTGTGGTTTTCCAGCCAGAGAGATGTTCCTGTTCCTGATGACCCCACTGAACCTCTGCCATTCGACCGGCTGGCCAACCTCAAGGAGGTACTGCGTAGTCTGTGTGTGCGGATATGTTATGATAGTCTTACTCAGAGTTAGAAATCTCAGTAACACTCATTGGCATAACCATCTCATAAACACGTCATGGGAGATGGTCTTATGATTTGTCCAGCTACAGTCGAGTTCAAACAGAATGGCATGTATAATGTCAATCAGCTGTAATGATAACATGATATTACTTGACATAAACTCATATGATGCGTCTATGTCCCAAGTGTCAAACACAGGGCCGGCGGGCCAAGTCCAGCCCGTGGTACAGTCCTATTCGGCCCGCAAAATTATTTAAATTTTCTATTAATATTAGCCCTTTTCACCATGAACTGTACTACAGTTCCCAGCATGCACTGCAACATAATGTGTGCTCCCACCCCCTCAACAACAACCTACTGTACACTGGGGACATTTAAAGAAGTTTAACAGATTTGTGCAGCTAATATAATTTATTGTTTTATATAAAACAGTTCGGTTTGATTTCAAATGATTTTTGAATCATTTAAGTATTCAGTGCCTGTTTTTTGTCTTTGTAGTTTTGACATATTTTTAATAAGCAGTGGCCAGTTGGGTTCATCGAAAAACGTCAAGTAAAAATAAACATCTGGCCCACAGATTTGTTGAGATTTTGTTGAGAGCTGGGTTCGTGTAAAGCCATACTGACCTCTTTTATGTGTATGGACTTTATGTGTTCATGTGTGCAGTTTTTCTTTGCCCTGTTTGCGGACTCTGGTTCATCCCCGGCTGTTCTGGACTATCTGACCATGCTGCTGTACTTCTGCTGCCATCCTGATCCAGCGCAGGGCTTCACCAGAGCACTCAGCATAGTGACCCAGCACAAACATCAGTACAGACACACCAGCCCCCTGCTGCAGGTACCCTACATTTAATCAGATGTTAACCACTAATAAATAACAGCATCACTAAACCTGTAGACAGTAACCAACACCACTAGTTGTAGCTTAGCTAAAGACTCCAAACCACCCAGCAGTGATCAGCCTCTGTCTCTGTAGTCACTGCCCTACATGGACGGTGCTGAGGAGTGTGAAGCTGAGGAAGAGGACGAGTCTGTGCGTAAAGATGATGGTGTGTTGGTGGATGAGCTTCTTAGAGTTCTGAGCCACGGAGGAACACGAGTGACATCACACCACCGCATAGAGTCTAACAGCAGAGAGGAGTTACAGCAGGTACACCTTCATAATCCAGCTATACTCACTGACCCAATGTTTACAATTCTAACCTCACTGTAGCCCACAATTCAGTCTGAACCGACAAAATTCAGTCTGAAATGACAAAATTCAGTCTGAACTGACAAAATTCAGTCTGAACCGACAAAATTCAGTCTGAACTGACAAAATTCAGTCTGAACCGACAAAATTCAGTCTGAAATGACAAAATTCAGTCTGAACCGACAAAATTCACTCTGAACTGACAAAATTCAGTCTGAACCGACAAAATTCAGTCTGAACTGACAAAATTCAGTCTGAACCGACAAAATTCAGTCTGAAATGACAAAATTCTGTCTGAACTGACAAAATTCTGTCTGAACCGACAAAATTCAGTCTGAACTGACAAAATTCAGTCTGAATACAACTGTAGCTCAAAAATTCAGTCTGAACTGACTGTAGCCCCACAAAATTCAGTCTGAACTGACTGTAGCCCCACAAAATTCAGTCTGAACTGACAAAATTCAGTCTGAACCGACTGTAGCCCACAAAATTCAGTCTGAACTGACAAAATTCAGTCTGAACCGACTGTAGCCCACAAAATTCAGTCTGAACTGACAAAATTCAGTCTGAACTGACAAAATTCAGTCTGAACCGACTGTAGCCCACAAAATTCAGTCTGAACTGACAAAGTTCAGTCTGAACCGACTGTAGCCCACAAAATTCAGTCTGAACTGACAAAGTTCAGTCTTAACAGACTGTAGCCCCACAAAATTCAGTCTGAACTGACAAAGTTCAGTCTCAACTGACTGTAGCCCACAAAATTCAGTCTGAACTGACTATAGCCCACAAAATTCAGTCTGAACTGACAAAATGCAGTCTCAACGTACTGTAGCCCACAAAATTCAGTCTCAACCGACTGTAGCCCACAAAATTCAGTCTGAACTGACAAAATTCAGTCTTAACCGACTGTAGCCCCACAAAATTCAGTCTGAACTGACAAAATTCAGTCTCAACTGACTGTAGCCCCACAAAATTCAGTCTCAACCGACTGTAGCCCCACAAAATTCAGTCTGAACTGACAAAATTCAGTCTCAACTTACTATAGCCCACAAAATTCAGTCTCAACCGACTGTAGCCCACAAAATTCAGTCTGAACTGACAAAATTCAGTCTTAACGGACTGTAGCCCCACAAAATTCAGTCTGAACTGACAAAGTTCAGTCTGAACTGACTGTAGCCCACAAAATTCAGTCTCAATGGACTGTAGCCCACAAAATTCAGTCTGAACTGACAAAAAACGGACTGTAGCCCACAAAATTCAGTCTGAACTGACAAAGTTCAGTCTGAACTGACTGTAGCCCACAAAATTCAGTCTCAACGGACTGTAGCCCACAAAATTCAGTCTGAACTGACAAAATTCAGTCTGAACTGACAAAGTTCAGTCTGAACTGACTGTAGCCCACAAAATTCAGTCTCAACGGACTGTAGCCCACAAAATTCAGTCTGAACTGACAAAATTCAGTCTTAACGGACTGTAGCCCACAAAATTCAGTCTGAACTGACAAAATTCAGTCTGAACTGACAAAGTTCAGTCTGAACTGACTGTAGCCCACAAAATTCAGTCTCAACGGACTGTAGCCCACAAAATTCAGTCTGAACTGACAAAATTCAGTCTGAACTGACAAAATTCAGTCTGAACTGACAAAATTCAGTCTTAACGGACTGTAGCCCACAAAATTCAGTCTGAACTGACAAAATTCAGTCTGAACTGACAAAATTCAGTCTTAACGGACTGTAGCCCCACAAAATTCAGTCTGAACTGACAAAGTTCAGTCTGAACTGACTGTAGCTCACAAAATTCAGTCTGAACTGACAAAATTCAGTCTGAATACAACTGTAGCTCAAAAATTCAGTCTGAACCCAACTACAGCCGATGTTTCGGTGTAATTGTGTGTTTAGGATCTGGTGAAGGTCTTTAAGGAGTTGGGCTTTGATGCGGAGGAGAAGATTCCATTCTCAATGCTATCCCAGCATCCGTTCCTGCAAGACCTGATGGAAGGCTCTTCACAGTATCTGCTAACAGTGAGTGCTGTAACACACAGACTCTTGAAAGTGATACACAAATACAGTTCTTCATAAAAATAAATTAAAAACTGAGTTAACTGTGTCTGCTTTTAAGTTCATTTTTTCATGCTACATTAATAATACATTTAAATATTTTAGAATGAAGCGTTTTTGTGAACAGTTTTTGATGCTGCTGTTTACCTGCAGGATATTCACAGACTTCTACACATCCCGAAGAGTGATGGAGAACCTTCAAGCTTCACCACATCATAGACTCGCATTCACGTGAACACAGAGAGCTTCAGGATAAAGAAAGGACTTCCAAATCCATTAGTCACAAACACAGGAGCTCACACACTAAACAGAAACATGAATTACACAAATTACAGTAGAATTAAAATTACAAATTGCAAATTTCTCTGTAATGCTCTCTGTAATGTTACTTAAATATGTTATTATATATAAAACAATTGTTCATATTTCCTAAACCCATCTTTAGTGGTAAACTGTGCTGATGTAAGATGTTCTACCAAAGAATATTAGTAGTTGAATATATGGTTCTGCTGTTATTCCTCTCTGCTGGTTTGTGGTGGATCCTACATATTCTGAGAACCAGAAACAACACAACAAAAACCCTTCAGTAAACCCTTCAGTCCTTCAGTAAAACACTAACCTCTGTTTATTTGAATTGTTCATATGTATTTGGTTATCTACACATATGTCATTTCTATATTTCAGAAGTGCAGCTCTTGCCTTCAGTCAGTAACCTAGTTGTAGCTGGAGCTGTTCTAGCAGGATCTGCAGTTGCTAAACTGGTTCTAGGTTTTACTGATAAAGACACAGTAAAGTGATGCCAAATACTGAACATACAGATAGAACTGAACTGTATACATGAATATTCTCTGTACTCTACACAGCTGTAAACTTATAAAATATAAACAATCTGTCATGTGTTCTGATCTGGTCTGTAGTTGATATATTGTACACTGGAAAATGTATGCTATTACTGTTAGCACAGAATTAGCCTGATTATTCAGCTGGTTTTAACCTACTGACAACATTAGTATCACTGCTGTGTTTAATGTTGAAAATGAAAATGTTACGATAAAATGTAATAAAATAAAATAAAAAAAAATTACAATCAAACAAAAATGGTAAAACATTTCTACTCTAGTTTAATAACACTGATAGTCGCAAAGCAGTTAGATTTACAAGTGAAACTGTGTAGAAGTAAAATGAATATAAATTACACAAATCCATTATCAGTGATACCAGCATCAGGAAATATAACCCGTCCTGTAATTTACACGGGTCATTACCTGTCCTCTGGCCCGTTTCCCCCTGATTTAATGGAGGACAGAGTGTAGATCCAGTCCACACAGCAGCTTAGATTGAAAGTGTTGGGTGACATCACAGCTAGAGAGATTTTAAAAGAGTGGTTAAAGTGAAAAAGTGAAAACACAGAAATACACAAAAGTACCTCCTTATCATTTCTATAAAAAAGGCAAAAAGAGAAGACCAGGAGTCAGAGGTCAGAGTGTAAGACTGTAAATTTACTTGAAGAATCATGTCAGCCTTACAGGCATGACCCAGCGTTACTGACCTCTCCTCCCCTTCTGCATCTGTGGACACCTGTGGAAGGCAGGTGTGATGCACATCAGAGCGGTGAGAGGAAGTGGGTGAGGGAACACCCACTTTCTCTCTCTCTCTCTCTATTTCTTTCCCTCTCTGTCTCTCTCTCTCTCTCTTGCTCCACTCCCAGGACAAATATACAGATACAAATATGCAGATGTTAATCAAATAAGTCAGGTACATGATTACAATAAAAGAACATCTATCAACACATCTAAGATTGATCTCTGAAACAGTAAGGTAGGGTCAAAGGACAAACAGCTCACAACCTGTTTACAGTGATCACAGGTTGACTAATGTTAAGAACTGAATGTATTTCAATGTATTTCAGTGACAAACAATGGAACCAAACCTGCCACTGTAAAAAGCAGCTTTTCACTGTTCTTATTGATTTTTTAGAAGGTGATATAAAACTTAACCTCGAGAGAAATCATTTTTCATACTTTTCTTTACGAAGCTGAGCTACAGCAGCTTGAACAGAGATTCCATGACTCTCTCGCTGCTTCAGCTGCTCCAACAAACAACCAAACTCAGTGCACAGAATGTCCACAGCCTCTGAGGTGCTGATATATTGAAAACTTGGAATACAGTCAGTGGCTTCTGTAAAGAAAATTAGATAACACTTTAGTTTACAGTCAGCTTCTTTAAGATACTAAATCTACAAATATACATTATACATTGTTGATTAACGTCTGCATCTGCAACAATATTCACATCCAATCTGAGTTTGTGACCAAATTTCAGAGCAGAAGTTCAATAAACGTTGAAAAGGAAAGTGCAGATCACAAACATATTCAATCAAAACAATAATACACTCTGCATAAAGAGTTACCGAACATCTAATCTACATCATTAAATCCTGTAAACATGGTAAATACTTGCATATTTTATATTACAACGTACCGTTTATTGCCATGATTTGCAGCGGATTATTTCCCAGACTAAAGTTCTTCTCACCAGCTGTAAGTAAATAAAAAAAGGATAATTTAAAATAGAACCATTTAATTCAGCTCGGTCAAAGCTTCCCTTAAGGCCCTTTAATGCTGAAAGGAGTTCTTTGAAAATGAATGCCTGAGCCACACAGTCATCTTGTGATATTTCTGCTGGTGTTTCTGCTGTTCAGTGAAAGGAGGGAAGTTTAGTGATGGATTTAGTTTGAGCTCATGTTAAACTCAGAGTTAAAGCAGTTTAACAGAAAAGAAGATGGACTCTGATGACCCATCCACAGCTAAGATTTATTTATTTTATTGTCAGCAGTTCAGAAGCTACACAGTCAGACGTTTTTCTTCTTTATGCATTTTCAGTGTGATTATCTTTTAGGTTTGTAACCACGTTTCCACAGTTTTGGTCCACACCGAAGGCCCAGCTCTAATAGTCAGGGTCACCACTGTAAAGTGTAAGAAGATGGTGAAAGCCTAATGACACCACCTGGACAGTGGTCAGAAAGGTCATTCCTTCAGACCTTAGCATCCCAATGAAAACTAATAAAGACGAACTGCTGAAAGAGCCACAGAGAGTAGAGTGTGAAAGTGACACACATGACTGCCACGACTTTGACCAAATGCTGTTTTTAAATGATGATTTCATTTATTGTAGGAAAAGTGCTGGTCAGCCTTACCTGGACCTTTGTGAAAAAGTAATTCTCCCCCTTAGCTACTAAATCAACCAGGTAACCCGATTCAATCCACTATATGGTTCAATTTCACTGCTACACCCAAACATGATCACTGCCAGACCTGCTGAATCTAAACATCACTTCAATAGAACCTGTCTGGCTGTGTGAAGCAGACTAGAAGGATGAAAGAAGCAGCACATGATGCCACGTTCTAAAGAGATTCAAATACACATGTGAAACAAAGTCACTGAGGGTTACAGAGCCATTGCTGAGGATCTGGGACCCCAGAGAACCACAGTGAGAGCCATGATCCCCACATGGAGAAAACATGGGACTGTGGTGAACCTTCCCAGGAGCGGCCAACCACCAAAAATATTACCAGGAGTGCACCAAGACTTTTGGGATAATATTCTGTGGACTTATTTGTCAAATGTGGAACTTTATGGAAGACATGGGTCCAGTCACATCTGGCCTAAAGCTAACACTGCATTCCACCATAAGAACTTCATACCAACAGTGAAACATGGTGGTGGTAGTGTGATGGTCTGGGGCTGCTTTGCTTCTGAAGGGCCTGGACGCCTTGTCATAATTGATGGAACCATGAATTCTGCTCTCTATCAGAAAATCCTGAAGGAGAATGTCCAGTTCATGACCTAAAGCTCAAGTGCAGTTGGGTTATGAATCAAAGGTTTTGGAGTGGCCTAGTCAAAGTCCTGACTTGAACCCAATTGAGACACTGTGGCAGGACATTAAACAGGCAGTTCAAGCTTGAAAACCCTCTAATGTAGCCGTTTTAAAACAGTTCTATAAAGAAGAGCAGGGCCAGAATTCCTCCACAGTGATGTTTGATTGCAGTTGTTACTGCTGAGGGCAGCATAACCAGTTATTAGGTGAGCAATTACTTTTTTACATGGGTGACAGGTTTTGAACAAATCTTTATCTTCAGTAAATGGAACGATCTTTTAAAAGCTGTGTTTTGTGTTTACTCATGTTGTCTTTTTCTTATATTAAAATTAGTTGGATGATCTGAAACATTTAAACATGACAGAAATAGAAGGAATTAGGAGTGGATGATACTTTTTCACAGCACTGTAGTTGCTTTTTGTTGTATTTTTGTAATTTTTTGCTTTTTGTAAGGAAAAATACAGACTGCATTCACACTGAACACTGAATTGCTGGAGTTCCTGTTCGATTGTACGTTTTAATTTAGGACTGAAAGAGCAAAACTAGTTAGTTCACTAATCTGAGATGTTTTCTGGGTTGCACCCACAATCAAAGCATTATTTTTACTTTCTAAAACCATTTTATCAAAAATGACATACTTTGTGTGGTTTTATACAGATATTGAAAAAATTTACACATATGTTTGAGTCTATTTGAGACTGAATTCAACTTGTTTTGAAACATCAAGTTAGCACCATGCTATTTGGTGGGGCATTACTTGTAAGCTACATTAGTTCCTTTGTGGAACTAAGGAAGCAAACTTTAGACACTAAGCATGTTTGGACTGATACATTTACTATTACATTTGCGGGAAAATTGTGTACATTTAATTTGCTGAACTGCTGCAATTGTTTATTCTTGCCAGAAAAGGGTAACATATTTCATAATGACTTTAATTTGACATAATTGGCATTACTTTTTTTCTACATCTAAACCATTAATTATGCATAGATTGTGAGAAAGTGGCTAATTTCCCATTCAACATATTTGTGTATGTTCTGAATAGGTAGATTTTTGAAGTTCTGAAGTTTTTATTTTGAATGGATATAAAATATTAAAAATTTAGCTAATGTTTACAGGATTAACAAGAATGTCTTTCTCAATTTGGTACTTACATTTTCTGTACTTTATAATGAATTGAACTAGTGAATTTTTCATGTTCTGAATCAAAATTTGCAATAAATTTGAATAAATGAGCATAAATCTACAGTACTTGTTTTATGTGTTCCTTACCTTAATTAGCTGTTTAATATGTCTTCATTCTACGTTAAATGGATATTGCAGGATATAGAAACAGGTATCAGTAAAGGCAGGATATTGTTCCAGTGTAACATCTGTTCACTCTTTGTCCTGGTTTTTCTCTGTTTTTGTCTTTTTCTTGGTTTCCCAGGTCTGTGTGTTTTTGTATATCTGCCATGTGCCTTTGTTTTCCTGTAACATGTGCTTTTGTTGTTATGATAGCTCCTCCCCTGTCCTGCCCTGTCTTCACCTGTTCTTTGTCTCCTAGCCCCGCCCTCTCATTGATCTCAGGTGATTCTCGTTTACTCTGTTGGTATTTATACCCCTGTGGTCGCTCAGTCCTGTTGTCTTGCTTTGTCTATATATCCAGTTGCTGTTCCTGGTTTAGTTCTGTTTTACTTTGTTCTGTCTTGTTTTGGATGTATCTGTTCCACTCACCTCTGCCACTGTGTTTTTGGACTCTCATTAAATCTCATTTAAATAAAAGCAACTCACACTTGCATCCGGCCTCAATGCCTCCTACGTTAGAACCAGTCAGAATGTTGCAGCCATCAAAGAATTCACTGATTGTAAAATAATAGAAATTTTCATAAATTAATATATATTTTTATGGAATTTTCAACCCTTGTGGTGTTCTGTTTTTAAACAGAATTTTTCTTTAAATTTAAGGAAAATATACATTTCTTTAAATACAGACCAACTGTAAAATGACAGAAATTTTCCAGGTATTTCCCAGTGTTGTGTAAAGGATGAATGCCTCTTCACAACACTGGAGGTGGTACAGATGCTCCGTGTCACCCACGCCAATAGGGGTCAGTATACAGCATAGCAATACTGTTCATTTTAAAAGGCAAAGAATAAAACTGCTTATTGCTCCTTTAACCTTTCACTTTATTTGGACAGTCCAGTCCATGACAGTAGATGTTTAGTAAATATTCTATAGGCTAACAATTTTCACTTTAATTGGATAGTCCAGTCTATGGTCATAGATGTGTAGGAGATATTAATATTGCACACAACATTTTGCAATGCAAATGCTTTGAACAATCAAGATTCGTTAATATTCAGCTCTGTAATGTTATTTTGTCCCTCAGTCAGTAGCTCTGCTAAATATATGTTCAGTAAAAAGTAAAATGTTAGTTATATCAATGTTGTAGCCTGAAGTCTAGAAATAACATTTCCTGATTTAAGTAAAGCCAGATGAGAATTTAGATGGAGATTTAGATGCAGATTAAGTTAAATCACAGAATGATTGATTAATCAGTGATGAGTAAACACAAGTAATCCAGAAATGCCTGTAAAATAAGGGTTGAATTGGTGCAGAAATGAAGTCATAGCACAGTCAGCAATGCCTTTACCAGATTTATTCAAAGAATTCATCAGACAAAAACAAGTTTTATGATGCTTGAAGAAAATTATGATCATATAGAAAAATCACTGATTGGCTAAAAGTAAAAAGGAGAATTAAAAAAAAAAATGAAAGAATGAAGAAATATAAAAGCAATTAAAAGGCCAGAGCAGCACTGCCCTAAAACTAAGGCTTCTCTCTCTCTCTCTCTCTCTCTCTCTCTCTCTCTCTCTCTCTCTCTCTCTCTCTGTGTGTTTCTCTCTCTGTCTCTCTCTCTTTATCTTTCTCTCTGTCTCTCTCTCTCTCTCTCTCTCTCTGTCTCTCTCTGTCTCTCTCTCAAAAACCAGCTGCCTGCTACTGTTGACCTCCAGAATATCCAGCTGCCCTTATGAACATTTTATGCCTGTCTCTCGTACATCATCTGTGAGCCACTGTCCAATCACCTTGAAGTATTTTTTATACCTACTTTTTGGCCACAGAGAAAGAGAGAGAGCCCCTGATCCTTAAACACATACAATTCTACAACAATCAACACTTGAGTATGAGATAATCATAGCAAATCAACAGACATGAGTATACAGTATACACTAATCATAGCAATTCAACAGATATGAGTATACAGTATACACTAATCACAGCAAATCAACAGACATGAGTATACAGTATACACTAATCATAGCAATTCAACAGATATGAGTATACAGTATACACTAATCATAGCAAATCAACAGACATGAGTATACAGTATACACTAATCACAGCAAATCAACAGATATGAGTATACAGTATACACTAATCATAGCAAATCAACAGACATGAGTAAACAGTATACACTAATCATAGCAAATCAACAGACATGAGTATACAGTATACACTAATCACAGCAAATCAACAGACATGAGTATACAGTATACACTAATCACAGCAAATCAACAGATATGAGTATACAGTATACAATAATCACAGCAAATCAACAGATATGAGTATACAGTATACACTAATCACAGCAAATCAACAGACATGAGTATACAGTATACACTAATCATAGCAAATCAACAGACATGAGTATACAGTATACACTAATCACAGCAAATCAACAGACATGAGTATACAGTATACACTAATCATAGCAAATCAACAGATATGAGTATACAGTATACACTAATCAGTAAATCAACAGATACATAGAGAACCATGAAGAACAGATGAATAACACAATGAATCTTGTAAAGGTAGACAGGATTCAGTTCAGTCCTTCATGCTGCAGGAGCGTCTGATGTTTCACCTCAAGCTTTAAATTCTGCAAAACACAGAGAAAATAAAGTCAGAAGGAAAATGGCACCTATAAACAAACATCAGACAGACCTCTAGTGCTCTACTAGCGAGAGCTACATTAACTATGAACACTTTAGGTCAGGATTTTTCATAGTGGAGCTCTACTTATAGACGTGCAGCAGAGTTTCATTTTGCTAATATCTGAGTCTCACTCTGCTGTGGCTCCCAGTATAATCCTAGTCAGGAAGTGAGCTGCTTGGCTGAGAGCTGCTGCACAGCTACTGCAGCCAGTCGCACCAGTTACAGCCTTATTATCTACCCTAGTGTTGATACTACTTACTCTTTTTCACAAACACAGCCATTTGTTTAGCTCATACGAAGAGTGTGTTATTGATAGGGGAGATATAGATAACTAGTGTGAAAGATGTATCTTATGTTTGACCACCATCTCTCAAGACCCAGATTTACAAATTTATTTACGTTTACTGCAGTTATTAAGAAGAAGGAAATTATTGGTCATCCAGCTTTTGATATTTTTAACACATTTTTCAAGAGTATTTAGATTTAGAGCCTCATTTGGTTTAGCAGATATGTAACGTTTTGTGTCGTCTGCATAGCAGTGAAAACTAATGCTGAACCTGTGAATTATTTTACCAAGAGTTTGCATGTAAAGAGAGAAAAGCAGAGGCCCGAGCACTGATCCTTGGGGGACACCATATTGTACTAATGTGTGATCAGAGTGTTTATTGTTAACACTGACAAATTGATAACGGTCTGCCAGAGAAAATCGGAACCAGGACAAAGCCTGTCCTTTGAAACCAGATTTTCCAGCCTATCAAGGAGGATCTTGTGGTCGATGGTATCGAATACTGCGTCAAGAAGGACTAGTATGCAAATATGGCCATTATTGAGAGACACAAGGAGATCATTTACTACTGTAGTTAGTGCTGTTTCAGTACCATGAAAGGGTCTAAAGCCAGACTGAAATGTCTCATGAAGAGGATGTTCTTGTAGGTAGGAGCTCAGTTGATGTGAGACCACTTTTTCTAAGATCTTAGCAATGAAAGGGAGATTGGAAATTGGTCTATAGTTGGCGAGTTCATTGGGATCAAGATCTGGCTTTTTAAGTAGGGGTTTAACGACTGCAAGTTTTAATGATTTTGGTACCCAGACTGAGGGATATTTATTATAGACTGCAGAGGTTTAACAACAAAGAGGACGATCTGTTTGAGCAGTTTTGTGGGTACTGGGTCAAGAATGCATGTTGATGATTTAGATGAGCTAATCAGTGTGACTGATTCATTTGTTTAGATAGGAAAAAAAGATAAAGAGAGCAAAAAAAGCAACTGGACTTTAGGGCTGGCAGGGCACTCATCATGTTGTGGTAATAGATCTATAGGCAGGTTTTGGATTTGTAGTCTAATATTTTCTATTTGATCATTGAAGAAACTGCTAAAATCATTGCTGTTCAAAATGTTTTCAAAATGTTTAATATTACCAGTTAGTTTGGATATAGTTATGAACGGGATCTTAGGACTATTTTTGTTATTCTCAATTAGCGACGAAAAAAGGATGCTTTGGCTGCGTTTAGGGTAACAACAAAAAAGAAGAACAATGATGGAACCAAAATGCCTTCACTTCATTTTAACATGGCTGTGATAGACCCATCCCTACGTCCATCAACATTCATTTATTTTCAAGTCTGTTTCTTCCATTTCTACAGAGTGACAGATCAGCCCTTCAACAGTACTAGTGCTGTGTGGAGGAAACTCTTCTCTGATGCAGTGGTACAATTTGACTGTGATTTATTTTTGACAGAGAGTTTTGTTGTTTGTGCTGTCAAATTTGACTCTGATATAAAACTGTTTAGAAAAGAAATATGAAAAAAGCTGACATTCCTGCCTAGGAAGGCTCTACTGGGGACAGTGTGGATTGGAAACAGCATGAGCTTCACTTTGGCAGCTTACTGCTAATCACCTAATGCTGATGTGGTGTGTTTGCTGTGAATTTGGACAGTGATCATAGTTTCTTATAGACATGGAATTCAAAGAAAGCACCAAGGTTCCGTGTACAATTACATACCTATGTGAACATATTTGAGGACAACGTCATGATGAATGAGGAGGTGTGTTATCTGGTCAAGCTCCTTCATACGATGTGAATAATTCAGCACATGCCTATCATCAACTTCAACTCTGTATTCAGAGGATGTGCACAAAATCTTGATCTGAAAAACAGAAAAAGTTAGCTCAAACTGTAAGGATCTGTATGAGGGTCCGGTTCTTTACTCTCTCTACAGATCTAACACATTAGATTCACTGAATAACACAATAGCACAATCTGAGGAGCTCATAGTAGACGCTCAGTTACAGTACTGAGTATCTACTATAATTACAGTAACTACATTATGCTACATTATACAGTGCTGTGAACCGTTTGTGAACTGTTTATCATTTTGTGAATTTCTACAAAAATGTGACTTAAAATATGATCAGATTTTCATTGAACTCAAAACAGTAGATAAACATAACAATAATTAATAATAATAAACAAATATTATTATTATTCATTGAACAAAGTTAAACATTAAATTGTCTGTTGGCAAACGTTTGTGAACCTATAGAATTATCAGTTTAATATAGGGGGATAATGAGGGTCAGGATGTTCAATCAATTGGTTGACAATCAGGCGTGAGGGGAGCTGAACCTGCTCCATTTAGAAAACTTAAACCTGAATATTTACCATAAAAGTCTTGTCTTTACATTAACATTTGTTAGTGCCTGCTGTGTCTCAGTCAAAGGAGATTTCTCAGGTCATTTCTCATTATGCTGGAAAAAGTCCCACAACTATTTCTACTGAGTTTGGACTACATCAGTCCACTACCAGGCAGATTTAACACCATTGTTACCCTTCCTTGGAGTGGTCTTCCAACAAAAATGACTCCAAGATTAAGGCCTAAAAAATTCCGGGAGAGCACAAGGAACCCCAGGGTAACTTCTGAGGATCTTTATGGCTTAAATGCAAGATATTTGGCAGAACTGAACACTGCATTCCAGAATAAAAACCTCATTCCAACTTTGAAACATGGTGGTGGCAGCATCATTGTTTGGAGCTATTTTGCTGCTATTGGACCAGGACAGCTTGCCATCATTTGATGGAGTTATGAATTCTGATTGTATCAAGAAATTCTACAGGAGGATGTTAGGTTGTCTATCCGTGAACTTTACCTCAACAGAAGGTGGGTCCTGCAGAAAAACAAAGAACCTAAAAACACCAATTATTGTACAAAGAATGGTGGAAGCAGAAGTAATGTTGCATTTGGAATGGCTCATCAAAATCCAGAGCTAATCCAGTAGAAAAGTTGAGGCAGAACCTGAGGTGTGCATGCATGCAAGAAAGCCCACCAACATAACAGAGTTAACGCAGTTCTGTAAGGAGGAACGGGCCCAGAGTCCTCCAAGTCAATGTGAGGGCTGAACAACATTTATAAGAACCGTTGGTTGAAGTCATTGCTGCTCAAGGGGGTCAAACCAGTTCCTGAAAGCAGAGGTTCTCATACTTTTGCCAATAAAGAAATTTATTGTTAGATAACTTAGTTCAGTAAATGAAAGAAAAACTGTACACCTTTGCGTTATTAGTTTCATTTGGTTCTCTTCATCTAGTGCAGGGGTGTCTAATCGTATCCACAGAGGCCAGGTGTGGCTGCAGGTTTTTATTCCAGCAAAGCAGGAGATCACCTGATCATCAGTGAGAAGACTAATACCAACTGATTAAACAAGCGGAATCAGGTGAGCTCCAGCTTGTTTTGAGTGAAACCCTGCTGCCACACCCGCCCTTTGTGGATAAGATTGGACACCCCTGATTTAGTGTTATGAGTAAGGGTCCTGAGGGGGGTCGATGGCAAGGGATAATAACTGTTCAGACTGGGTGAAGACTGGAACAGAGCATGTACAGAGCACTCTGAATAAAATCATATTTTCTGGAAACCCTGGTCTCCTGAATCTCTGTCTGTGGCTTTCACTAGTGAACATGATCCCTCAGTGAACAGACTCTCACTTAATATAGAGTGAAAGTGTTTAAATGAGCAGAGCAGGACTGTCTGTTCACAACACTCACCTCAAAAGGTTTTCCAGGTGTGAAAGGAAAGAAAGGAGGGTGTCTTTCCTCGGGACCCCAAACACCTTTAATCCAGCTGTTCCTCACAATCACCTGCTTCCCATTGTCATTGAAGCGAGGGTTGAAATGAAAGGCTATATCAGTGCCTTTACAGATGTCAATCATAAATCTAAAGGGAGAGAAAATGAAACAAAATCACTTTAACCATTTTATTTTTAGATGTGTCCTTCTCTGTGTACTGTTTATTATACTCTTACCTATCAGCATTTTGTTTGGGCTCTCCGCAGACAGTGATCAGTGTTTGGTCCTTGAGTCCTTCAGGCAGAACCTGCCTATAAGGAACTTCTGGGAAGAAGTCTAGAAAGAATGCAGGAGAGACTAAAGTGTTGAAAATGAAAGGATGAGTTCTGCTCTTCCTGCTCTGTGTGCTGCACACATCACTCTTACCAAAGCTGGAGAGATAATGATGTTGGGCTTTATTTAACACTTGTTGCTGAGTACAGTTGACCTGACACTCATTCAGCAGTCACTGAATGTAATCTTTACTTTTCATGTTTGTGAGGTTAAAATGGAAAAAGAAAACCAGTTATTGGAGCTCTGAGTTGAGCCTTCAGTTACTAAAGTGTCTGGATCATTTTCCACCAACTCCCCTTAAACGTGGCAGGTCACATCATGGATTTCCATGAAAGAAAAATCCAGTCCCTAAATCATTTCTGAACTTTCTTCTTTGCTTAAAGCAAGAAGTGAAGCCTGGGCCCCCCGAAGACCAGGGCACAGAGACCACTGGCTTACATTTATTCAGCTGAGGAATTAATGTTAACGCTTTATTATTATTACAAATATTTTAATCAAACATGTGCTTCAGATGTTTTTATTTTGCTAATTACTATTTTCCATAACTGACTTTAATGTTTTATTTAATTTCATTGTGAAGGAGCTGGATTTTTATGTATGCTATATAAATAACATTATTATTTATTTATTTATTTATTTTAGTGCTTTGGGAAACACACTGTCTTTTGTTTATTTATAAGTGCTTATTGGCCATATGCCACTATACATCAATGCTCACTGTAAATAACAGAAATGATCAAACAGGTTGCTGAGAGCTTTTACTGAACTTCGAAAATCTACTGTTAGCTGCAGAGTGAAAACCAGCTGGAATTTATCTTTTTGCTGTTTTGATACATTATATTGCCAAAATTATTCGCTTGTTTGGCTTCACACGGATATGAATTTGAGTGACATCCCATTCTTAATCCATAGGGTTTAATATGATGTCGGCCCACCCTTTGCAGCTATAACAGCTTCAACTCTTCTGGGAAGGCTTTCCACAAGGTTTAGGAGTGTGTTTATGGGAATTTCTGACCATTCTTCCAGAAGCCCATTTGTGAGGTCAGACACTGATGTTGGACGAGAAGGCCTGGCTCGCAGTCTCCGCTCTAATTCATCCCAAAGGTGTTCTATCGGGTTGAGGTCAGGACTCTGTGCAGGCCACTCAAGTTCTTCCACACCAAACTCGCTCATCCATGTCTTCATGGTCCTTGCTTTGTGCACTGGTGCGCAGTCATGTTGGAACAGGAAGGGTCAAAACTACCCAAACTGTTCCCACAAAGTTGGGAGCATGAAATTGTCCAAAATCTCTTGGTGCTGAAGCATTAAGAGCTCCTTTCACTTGAACTAAGGGGCCGAGCCCAACTCCTGAAAAACAACCCCACACCATAATCCCCCTCCACCAAACTTTACACTTGGCACAATGCAGTCAGACAAGTACCGTCTCCTGGCAACCGCCAAATCCAGACTCGTCCATCGGATTGCCAGACGGAGAAGCGTGATTGGACACTCCAGAGAACATGTCTCCACTGCTGTAGAGTCCAGTGTCGGCGCTTTACACCACTGCATTCGACGCTTTGCATTGTGCTTGGTGATGTAAGGCTTGGATGCAGCTGCTCAGCCATGGAAGCCCATTCCATGAAGCTCTCTACGCTGTGCTTGAGCTAATCTGAAGGCCACATGAAGTTTGGAGGTCTGTAGCGATTGACTCTGCAGGAAGTTGGTGACCTCTGCACACTATGCGCCTCAGCATCCGCTGACCCTGCTCTGTCATTTTACGTGGCCGACCACTTCGTGGCTGAGTTGCTGTCGTTACCAATCGCTTCCACTTTGTTATAATACCACTGACAGTTGACTGTGGAATATTTAGTAGAGAGGAAATTTCCTTACTGGACTTGTTGCACAGGTGGCATCCTATCACAGTACCATGCTGGTATTCATTGAGCTCTGAGAGCGACCCATTCTTTCACTAATGTCTGTAGAAGCAGTCTGCAGGCCTAGGTGCTTGGTTTTATACACCTGTGGCCACGGAAGTGGTTGGAACACCTGAATTCAATGATTTGGATGGGTGAGTGAATACTTTTGGCAATATAGTGTATGTTCGTATGTTTTACCTGTTTATGTCAAAGTTTATTTTTCAGTCCTTGTCCTTTGTTCTGATGCTTGACACTGTTGTAAATGATGGTCACCTTCAGTGTGCCTCAAAAATTTAAATAACAGTTGGTTGATTGACTTATTCATAATGACAGTGCCATATGTCTATTTTCAGGGACCAACCTGAGATTTTGCGTCTTTCAGGGAGTTCAGAAGGTTAACTAGGAACCGCCCCATACATCACCCCTCTGTCTTTTTTTTTTTGGTCTTTATAGCTATAATTGGAGGGCATGTAAAAGAGCGTACCTCTTCTGATTTGTAAGATTTTAGAACATACCTTTCAAATCACTAAGATGTATGAGGATGCTCCTCATGGAGAGACCGTATTCTATGACACTCCTGGTTTTCCCTCCATCACCTGGGTAAACATAGCCACCAGTGTGAACACCAATCAGCTCGCAGGACTCGTTAAAGACTGGAGAGCCAGAAGAACCATAGAATAAACAGGAATCGTAGGTGAACTGGGAGTCATAGAATTGCCATTTCTCTGTGATAGATTTCTGGGTGATTATATGGACATAATCTGGGTTCTCAGCGAGGTGCTTCTGAACAGCTTGATCTCGTTCCGCTTTTTGAATGATGAAACTGAAGTCCAGCTTCTTGATCCCACCATCAGGGTGCCCAATGATACAGGTTCCTCCTGAGACCTCAGGTACATTGCTACTGAAGGTGTCCCCAGCACAGGTCTGGAGTAGTTCAATATATTTAACACCTCTGCTCAGCTCCAGCAGGACAAAGTCCACATGTTTACCGTTTTCTCCATCCCTTTTGTGCTGATAGAAAGCAACAATTTTCTCCTTCACTTGCACTTCAGTGATGTCGCTGTCTGGTGCTTCATAACCAAATACAGCAGTGATAGGCTGTGATAGTTTCATTGTGCTTTGGGGATTGTTCCCAATAACATGTGCGTTGGTGAGGATGCAGTTTCTGGTGAACAGAAAACCAGTCCCTAGTGGAGTTTTATTTCCTTTTGAATCCTTACTGTAGATTAGACAGACAGAATTGGAGAGCTTCATCAGCTGCTTCACTTTGTGCACCTCATTAAAAGTCTCAACACTCTTATCGTACTCCTCTCTGAAAAACCTACGCACTTCTGAGTCACTGCTTAGGTTCTCTCGCTCTTTCAGCACTTTGAGCAACAAATCAAACTCAGCATACAGAACTTTGAGTAAGTTATTAGGTGAGGATCTTCTTGTTATTTTAGATTGGGTTTGTTCTAAATGTCTAGGACTGATCTTTTCTGAATCACAAACTTCACTAGCTTCCTGCTCTTCATCTGCTGGATGATCCTTCAGATGATCTGCTGCCTGAAGCACATCTTCCATATTGGTCTGAGACTCAAAGTACTTCACCACATCCGTTCTTCTTTTCTCCTTCACTTGTTTAAGGATGTGTGCCAGGATGGGCAGCATGGGGAGAGCGTATTCCACGACCCTCTGGGTTTCTCCTCTTTCGTCTTTGTACGCATATCCACCAGAGTGAACACCGATTAGCTCACATGACACGTTAAAGACTGGTGAGCCAGACGATCCATGTAAGAACCAAGAACTGTAGTTGATCTCAGACTTCATTTCCTCCAAGCACTTCTTTGACATTATATGAAGGATGTTCTCAGACTTTTTCTCAGCTGTTTCCTCAGGATGTTTCTCAATGATGAAACAGGGATCCATTAGTTTGACCCCTCCATCAGGGTGGCCAACTATGCAGATCCCTCCCTTGGTGGGAGGGGGACTGTAGCTGCTTAGCAATAAGCAACAAACAGGAAGTTCTGCATCATCACTCAGTTCCAGCAGAGCGAAGTCCAGAAGTTTCCCTGTATCATCCTTTCCATGACAGTAGGCAACAATGTGGTCTTTCACTTGTAGTTCCTTCCCCATGCCCTGATCTTCAAAGCCGAATACAGCAGTAACAGTGTTGTACAGCTTCCGTGTCTCCTTGTCAAATTTGTGTTCAATCACATGACCATTGGTGAGGATGAACCTGTCAAACAGCAGGAATCCGGTTCCTCTTGCAGCACCTTCTACACAGATCAGGCAGACGGAGTCAGACACCTTCGTTAGGAGTTTCACCGTCTTCATCTCAGAGAAGCTGTGAGCACTTTCATTGTACTTCTTTCTCAAGAATGTCTGCACTGCGGCGTCTTCAGTTAGACTCTCTCGCTGCTTCAGCTGCTCCAACAAACAACCAAACTCAGTGCACAGAATGTCCACAGCCTCTGAGGTGCTTATATTTTGAAAATTTGGAATACAGTCAGTGGCTCCTGTAAAGAAAATTAGATAGCACTTTAGTTTACAGTCAGCTTCTTCATAATACTAAATCTTCATCATATAAGTCATAATTGCCTTACTGAGTAGAATCAAAATATTTGTAAGCAAATGTACCACATTTGTAATGTTTCTTAGAAAGGAAATGGCTCTATGCATCTAAGGGACAAATATTCATTATAACTTGTAGATTAACTTGTGCACTGTTAACATTATCAAAGGTCAGTCACACTCGTTCAGTCAGTCACTGTTTTTTCAAGTCTATCTAAAAGGCGTTAGCTTTGTGAACTGAAAGAATTCTGATAAATGAATTTCTAAAGGATGCTCTGTACAAGAATGTCATCCCACGCTAACATTATTGTGCATTTAATGTAATTGGACAGTGTTGCTGTAAATGATAGAGTGTAGATCTGGAGACAGTGCAGACCAGTAGAGTGTAAATCTGGAGACAGTACAGACCAATAGAGAGTAGATCTGGAGACAGTACAGACCAATAAAGTATAGATTTGGAGACAGTACAGACCAATAGAGAGTAGATCTGGAGACAGTACAGACCAATAGAGAGTAGATCTGGAGACAGTACAGACTAATAGAGTGTAGATTTGGAGACAGTACAGACCAATAGAGAGTAGATCTAGAGACAGTACAGACCAATAGAGAGTAGATCTGGAGACAGTACAGACCAATAGAGTGTAGATCTGGAGGCAGTACAGACCAATAGAGAGTAGATCTGGAGACAGTACAGACCAATAGAGTGTAGATCTGGAGACAGTACAGACCAATAGAGTGTAGATCTGGAGACAGTACAGACCAATAGAGTGTAGATCTGGAGGCAGTACAGACCAATAGAGAGTAGATCTGGAGACAGTACAGACCAATAGAGAGTAGATCTGGAGACAGTACAGACCAATAAAGTATAGATTTGGAGACAGTACAGACCAATAGAGAGTAGATCTGGAGACAGTACAGACCAATAGAGAGTAGATCTGGAGACAGTACAGACTAATAGAGTGTAGATTTGGAGACAGTACAGACCAATAGAGAGTAGATCTAGAGACAGTACAGACCAATAGAGAGTAGATCTGGAGACAGTACAGACCAATAGAGTGTAGATCTGGAGGCAGTACAGACCAATAGAGAGTAGATCTGGAGACAGTACAGACCAATAGAGTGTAGATCTGGAGACAGTACAGACCAATAGAGTGTAGATCTGGAGACAGTACAGACCAATAGAGTGTAGATCTGGAGGCAGTACAGACCAATAGAGAGTAGATCTGGAGACAGTACAGACCAATAGAGAGTAGATCTGGAGACAGTACAGACCAATAGAGTGTAGATTTGGAGACAGTACAGACCAATAGAGAGTAGATCTAGAGACAGTACAGACCAATAGAGAGTAGATCTGGAGACAGTACAGACCAATAGAGTGTAGATCTGGAGGCAGTACAGACCAATAGAGAGTAGATCTGGAGACAGTACAGACCAATAGAGTGTAGATCTGGAGACAGTACAGACCAATAGAGTGTAGATCTGGAGGCAGTACAGACCAATAGAGTGTAGATCTGGAGGCAGTACAGACCAATAGAGAGTAGATCTGGAGACAGTACAGACCAATAGAGAGTAGATCTGGAGATAGTACAGACCAATAGAGAGTAGATCTGGAGACAGTACAGACCAATAGAGTGTAGATCTAGAGCTTTGGGGTAGTTAGAGTGGGTTTGTGCTGGTAACCAGTAGGGAAAGAGTACGGCTAGGAATGACCTACTTCTATTTTCAGTTGCTTTTCAGGGCCATTTTTTTGCCTTGTTTTAATGAAAGAGCATTTTTCCAGCTGACTCTTCTTCTGCACAGTGCCACAGTATTCATGGCCGTAGCAGTTTTCTTAAATGTTAGATTCTAGTTAGGCTACTGTTTTGTTGATTCCTAATGTCCAGTTGGGACCCCTTCATAACCAATATTGTCACTTTCACCATCAACCACCGTCCACCACCACCAACCACAATGCTCTATTTCTGTCCTGTGGAGCAGAACAGACGTTCTGGCTCCACTGATGGGCCCTTATTCATTAGTAGGGTTTGGTATGTATAAATGTATGTGTTAGATTCTGTGTTTTTGGGCTCATGCAAACATTTTTGTATATGTCATTTAGATATATGTTATTTAGACATTGGTTTTGGAAAGTGTGCTATACTGTAATTCTAATAGCTCCATACACCATTGAGAAATTTGCCATTTATGTTCACATCACAGTTTTTTGAATCCACATTCACTGTCAAATCATCTAGACAGTCGGGGCCTTGGCTTCACACCTATCCATGATGCCTTTGTTAGATCTGTGTCTGTATAAAGCCTGGACTTGTTGCTCCTCAGCTTCAGAGCTTAAGGTTTTCTCTCTGATGACCTTCTGTATTTGCAAATGAACCACATTTTCATCAGTCCACGAGCTGTCTGTGTTCCCAAGAAACTGCAGTCTAACATAAGCCCTGCATGAGGGTTTGGGTTTAATGAGTAACATATGTCCATACTTTCTGTCCATTGCCTTCTAAGGTCATGAGGTATAAGTCACGGTGTGTGTGTTAGAAGCAGACACAGGAGCACAGAGTCCGGTCGGTCCCTCTCTATGCATTTTTTGTTTCGACATTAGTGATTGAAGGTCACGGCAACACACACTTAGAAACAATATTCACATCCATTCTGAGTTTGTGAACAAATTTCAGAAGCTCAATAAACATTGAAAAGGAAAGTGCAGATCACAAACATATTCAATCAAAACAATAATACACTCTGCATAAAGAGTTACCGAACATCTAATCTACATCATCAAATCCTGTAAACATGGTAAATACTTGTATATTGTATTTGACAACTCACCGTTTTGGGCCATGATTTGCAGCGGATTGTTTCCCAGACTAAAGTTCTTCACAGCAGCTGTAAGTAAATAAATAAGGATCATTTAAAATATAACCATTTAATTCAGCTCGGTCAAAGCCTCCCTTTAAGGCCTTTTAATGTTGAAAGGACTTCTTTGAAAATGAGTGGCTGAGCTACACAGTCATCTCGTGATATTTCTGCTGGTGTTCCTGCTGTTCAGTGAAAGGAGGGAAGTTTAGTGAATGATTAAAGTTTGAGCTCATGTTAAACTCAGAGTTAAAGCAGTGAAAACTCTCACTAATGGTTTAACAGAAAATAAATCTTTAGCTAAAGATGGACTCATGACCCATCCACAGCTTCTTCAGCTAAGATCTTCTGTTTGCAGTTCAGAAGCTACACAGACAGACTGTTTTTTTTTTTTTATGCGCTTTACAGTTTACAGCTATGTGTTCTATCAAAATATCAGTTTGAAACCTGTTTCTCCAAAACCCGTCAGAGCTGTTTTTACTGGGAGACACTGTTTAATACCTTTCAGTAACATCATTGATTTTAAACATCAGCAGATCAAAACTGCATAGTTCAGATGTCAACAAAAAATATTTTATAGTGCAGTTTACTGAAATGATGTTGCTGCACTGTAAGTATTACTGTGGTAACCAAAATGTATCAGAGTGTTTAAAACTCAAATACTTTAAATGAAACAATGCAAAGCTAATGTTTTACATCAATTCACAGCCCAAACACACAGAGCAGTTAATCTTTACATGTTGATCTAAAATCATTGAATCTGTTGTTCCATTATGGCTGTAGTGTTCAGTAAAACACTGAGCTCCACATCTGCTTTGTTTCACTGCAGCAGTTACTACAAACACATCTAATGATTGTAAGTAAATTTCACTTACCTTGTTTGCAAGTGGATGGTCTCATGTTCTCAGGAACTTGTGGAATGCAGCTTGAATGGACTTGAACAGTCAGAACCACCCAGCACAATTTCCTAACAGTCTGACCTCACTGACCAATGAACAGCAGTTTCAAATGATACCCTGTATAAAGTGATTATACACTAAATAAAGCTAAATAAAAGGAGGCACTCCCACTGCAAGGTACTCCCACTACAAGACTACCTCTTTAAGACACACCCACCACAAGACATTTCCACTATAAGATACTCCCACTACTAGACACACCTACGCAGCAAATGTGCTGCCATCTAGTGCATCTACAGCTACTGCAGTGCAGCTCTTTATTTTTGTTTCTTCATCATTCATACACCGAGCAGAGGAAGTCATACCAACTGTCTTGCATTATTATTATCATTGTGTTTGGGTATCAGTATGCAAGATTGTTAGTCTACTACGGTTAAAGTCTTCAATCGATTGATTTCCCAAATGTAGACATCAGTCTCGATCAATATCAGTGACCTTTAGGCTGTGACATTTCATTATTCAATTCAATTTAGTTTTGTTATAAGTATTTTAAAGACATTGATAAAGTGAATTATTTTAAAACACTATGGTACCAAGTAACCTGTTTACACCCAATTTTAGAATTCATTCATCAACCTCAATTATTCCATCCATGAATTGCAAACTCTGCATTGACATTATCTTGTCATATAAACGTTTGTGTCCAAAAAAATAACGTAATGGTCTCTGAAAACCAGTGCCATTAAAAAGTAACGTTGTTTTTATGTGTTTAATGGTGATCAGTCAGTTTGTGAATAAGAAGGAAAAATGCAGTAAAATAGTGCTTAATGGAAGCTACCACTAAATGCAAAAACATAAATGTAGCAAATGAAATTCTTAGTTCATTATTTTTTAGCATAATCATGTTTGTTTGTACACATTTTAAGCAAAACATTTTCAGTGTGATTATCTTTTAGGTTTGTAACCACGTTTTGACAGTATTGGTCCACACCGAAGGCCCAGCTCTAATAGTCAGGGTCACCACTGTGAAGAGTAAGAAGATGGTGAAAGCCTAATGACACCACCCAGTCAGGGGTCAGAAAGGTCATTCCTTCAGACCTTGGCATCCCAATGAAAACGGATAAAGACGAACTGCTGAAAGAGCCACAGAGAGTAGAGTGTGAAAGTGTCACGCATGACTGCTATGACTTTGACCAAATGCTGTTTTTAAATGATTTCATTTATTGCAAGAAAAATGCTGCTCAGTGCTACTAAATCAACCAGGTGACCCGATTCAATCGACTATATGGTTCAATTTTACTGCTACACCCAAACATGATCACTGCCAGACCTGCTGAATCTAAACATCACTTCAATAGAACCTGTCTGGCTGTGTGAAGCAGACTAGAAGGTTGAAGAAGCAGCACATGATGCCACGTTCTAAAGAGATTCAAATACACATGTGAAACAAAGTCACTGAGGGTTACAAAGCCATTGCTGAGGATCTGGGACCCCAGAGAACCACAGTGAGAGCCATGATCCCCACATGGAGAAAACATAGGACTGTGGTGAACCTTCCCAGGAGTGACCAACCAACAAAAATTTCACCAGGAGCGCATCGGAGGTCATAAAAGATACCGGACAAACATCTTAAGAGCTGCATGCCTCAGTTGAGGTCAATGTACATGATTTCACTATAGGAAAGACACTGGGCAAAAATGGCATCCATGGGAGAGCTGCTCGGTGCAAACCACTGCTGACCAAAAAGAACACAAAGCCTTGCATTTGCCAAAACGAATGTAGATGACCCCCAAGACTTTTGGGATAATATTCTGTGGACTGATGTGTCAAATGTGGAACTTTCTGGAAGATGTGGGTCCAGTTACATCTGGCATAAAGCTAACACTGCATTCCACCATAAGAACTTCATACCAACAGTGAAACATGGTGGTGGTAGCGTGATGGTCTGGGGCTGCTTTGCTTCTGGAGAACCCGGACAGCTTGTCATAATTCATGAAACCACAAATTATGCTCTCTATCAGAAAATCCTGAAGGAGAATGTCCGCCCTTCAGTTCATGACCTAAAGCTCAAGTGCAGTTGCTTTGAAGCATCAAGTTAAACATGTTTGGACTGATAAATGTACTATTACATTTGGGGGAAAATTGTGTACGTTTAATTTGCTGAATGGCTGCAATTGCTTATTATTGCCAGATCTTGCCAGATGTGTTTAATGGATTTATTGAAAAGAGTAACATATTTCACAATGAATAAAATTTTTAATTTGACATAATTGGCATTACTTTTTTTTTCTTTTCTACATCTAAACCATTAATTATGCATAGATTGTGAGAAAATGGTTGAATTCCCATTTAACATATTTGTGTATGTTCTGAATTAGTACATTTGTGAAGTTTTGAAGCTTTTATTCAGAATGGATATGAAATTATAATTTTAACCAATGTTTACAGTATGAACAAGAATGTCTTTCGCAATTTGGTACTTAAATTTTCTGTACTTTATAATGACCTGAACTAGTTTTTTGCAATAAATTTGAATAAATGCGAGTACATCTACAGTACTTGTTTTATGTGTTCCTTACCTTAATTAGCTGTTTAATATGTCTTCATTCTAAGTTAAATGGATATTGCAGGATATAGAAACAGGTATCAGTAAAGGCAGGATATTGTTCCAGTGTAACATCTGTTCACTCTTTGTCCTGGTTTTTCTCTGTTTTTGTCTTTTTCTTGGTTTCCCAGGTCTGTGTGTTTTTGTATATCTGCCATGTGCCTTTGGTTTCCTGTGACATGTGCTTTTGTTGTTATGATAGCTCCTCCCCTGTCCCGCCTTGTCTTCACCTGTTCTTTGTCTCCTAGCCCCGCCCTCTCATTGGTCTCAGATGATTCTCGTTTACTCTGTTGGTATTTATACCCCTATTTACTTTGTTTTGTCTTATGGATTTATTTGGTCCACTCACCTCTGCCACTGTGTTTTTGGACTCTCATTAAATCTCATTTAAATAAAAGCAACTCACACTCACATCCAGCCTCAATGCCTCCTACGTTAGAACCAGTCAGAATGTTGTAGCCATCAAAGAATTCACTGACTGTAAAATAATAGATATTTTCATAAATTAATATATATTTTTATGGAATTTTCAACCTTTGTGGTGTTCTGTTTTTAAACAGAATTTTTCTTTAAATTTAAGGAAAATATACATTTCTTTAAATACAGACCAACTGTAAAATGACAGAAATTTTCCAGGTATTTCCCAGTGTTGTGTAAAGGATGACGGTCTCTCCGCAACACTGGAGGTGGTACAGATGCTCCGTGTCACCCACGCCAATAGGGGTCAGTATACAGCATAGCCATACTGTTTATTTTGTTTTATTAAGGCAAAGAATAAAACTGCTTATTGCTCCTTTAACCTTTCACTTTATTTGGATAGTCCAGTCCATGACAGATGTTTAGTAGATATTCTATAGGCTAATAATTTTCACTTTAATTGGATAGTCCAGTAGGAGATATTAATATTGCACACAACATTTTGCAGTGCAAATGCTTTGAACAATCAAGATTCGTTAATATTCATCTCATTCATATAATGTTATGTTGTCCTTCAGTCAGTAGCTCTGCTCAATATGTGTTCAGTAAAAAGTAAAAGCTGAGTTATATCAATGTTGTAGCCTGAAGTCTTGAGTTCTAGAAATAACATTTCCTGATTAAAGTAAAGCCAGATGAGATGGAGATTTAGCTACATGTTAAAGTATAGAGTAATTGATTAATCAGTGATGAATAAACACAAGGAATCCAGAAATGCCTGTAAATAAGGGTTGAATTGGTGCAGAAATGAAGTGATAGTGCAGTCAGTAATGCCTTTACCAGATTTATTCAAAGAATTCATCAGACAAAAACAAGTTTTATGATGCTTGAAGAAAATTATGATCATGCAGAAAAATCATTGATTGGTTAAAAAAGGAGAATAAAAAATGAAAGAATAAACAAATAAAAGGCAAGAGCAGCATTGCTACAACACTAAGGCATCTTTCTATCTCTCTCTCTCTCTCTCCCTTTTTTCTCTCTTTCTCTCTTTTTGTTTTCAAGACACAGCTGCCTGCTACTGTTGACCTCCAGAATATCCAGCTGCTCTCTCTGAATTTTTAAGCCTGTCTCTCCTACATCATCTGTGAGCCACTGCCCAATCACCTTGAAGTATTTTTTTTATACCTTCTATATGCATTAGAAAGATGATACATGCTATTCCTTTTGAACAGTTAATAACTTTTTGGGCACAAAGAAAGAGAGAGAGCCCCTGATCCTTAAACACATACAATTCTACAATGATCAACATTTGAGTATGAGATAATCTCAGCAAAATAACAGATACATGTAAACAGCATGTGCTAATCAACAGATGTAGAGACATAGAGAACCATGAAGAACAGATGGATAACAGAATGAATCTTGTAAAGGTAAACAGGATTCAGTTCTACTTCATGCTGCAGGAGCGTCTGATGTTTCATCTCAAGCTTTAGGTTCTGTAAAACACAAAGGGAAAATAAAGTCAGAATGAAAATGGCTTCTATAAAACATCAGACACACCTCTAGTGCTCTACTAATGAGAGCTGTATTTAAAGTGGACACCGTGGGTCAAAATTTTTCATGTGGAGCTCTACTTATAGACGTACAGCAGAGATTAATTTTGCTAATACCTGAGTCTCACTCTGCTGTGGCTCCCAGTATAATCCTGGTCAGGAGGTCAGCTGCTTGGCTGAGAGCTGCTGCACAGCTACTGCAGCCACGCGCAACAGTTACAGCACTATTATCTACACTTGCCATGCACGCATTTTCACAAATCCGACCATGCGTTTTAGCTCACGCCAAGAGTATGTTATTAATAGGGGAGGTTTTCTGGAAAACTCATTTGGAAATATACATCAGAAATGGCCAATGTATCTTTGTGACTACCATCTTTTAACACCCAGTACTGAACAGTAATGTGTTTAAGATAAGAATATATTTGAATATTTAACAATTAAAAAGGGGAACGATGAGGGAAACTAATGCCTTCACGTCATTTTAAAAATAGTTTTGTTAGACCCATCCTATGTACATCAAAAGGTAAACCACATTTTTACTCTTAAGTTTATTTCTGCCATTTGTGCAGAGTTACAGAGCAGTGCTTGTGCTGTACTAATGCTGTGTGGAGCATACTCTTCTCTGATA